GGGATCTGCTGTCTCAGTTGGGGGGACAGATAAGGCTGACTGGGTGTTCAGACACTGTGAGACACACCATATTGAGTGCTAGGGCTTCCTCCACTCGGCTGCAGTATGCTAACAGATGGCGCCTCTTTTCTCAGTGGTGCTCTGCCCACAATGAGAACCCGGTTTCCTGCTTGGTGCCCACTATCTTGGAGTTCCTCCAGTCTCTCCTTGATAAGGGCCGCTCTCCTTCGACCCTTAAAGTGTATGTTGCAGCAATTTCATGTCTTCACCAATCTGTTGACAACCGTACAGTGGGGCGCCATGAACTGGTTTCACTTTTTCTGCGTGGTGCTCGTAGGTTGTGCCAGCGGCCCGCTCCACGAGCCCCAGATTGGGATCTGCCGTTGGTTCTCACAGCTCTGTGCCACCCTCCATTCGAGCCTTTGGCACAAGCAGAACTCAAGTGGCTTTCCTGCAAGACTGCTTTCCTGATGGCTATCGTCTCAGCTAAGAGGGTCAGCGAGCTACATGCTCTTTCTGTCAGCCCTAGGTGTATCAGGTGGAATCCAGATGGCTCTGGTGTTACCCTGTGGCCTAATACTGCGTTTCTGCCTAAGGTGTTGTCTCCTTTTTAACCTTAGCCAGCCATTGCGGCTGGCTCGATTTCAGCCTCAATCTGGTACAACTGAGAATGAGTCTGAGTTGTTGTGCCCAGTAAGAGCGTTGGAGGCATACATTGCAGCCACCGCCAATCTGAGACGCTCGGACCAGCTTTTCCTATGCTATGGGGGTCCAAGGTTAGGCTGTCCTCTTTCTAAACAGCGTCTGTCCCATTGGATTGTGAGTGTCATCTGCCACGCCTACGCTGCAGGTCACTGCTCCCTGCCAGTCGGTGTGAGAGCACATTCCACCAGGAACGTCACCCCTTCCTGGGCTGCTTTGAGAGGGGTTCCGCTGGAAGCAATATATGCTGCTGCTTCATGGGCTTCCCCAACCACCTTCACCAGGTTCTACAGTGTCAATGTGGCTGCCCCTCATCCCCTGGGTCAGGTCCTTTTACAAGGTTCTGCTGGGCCTCCTCTGTGAGGTATGTGCTCAGGATTCCTTGTGACATCGTTGGCATTAGTCATTCAGTGCTTTCAGCACCGCCCTCTGGCGGTCAGTAGGGATGAAATAGAACGAAAGTTACGTATGTAACTACGGTTCTATGAATCCCGGATGACCGCCAGAGCTTCTCTGTCACTCAGAATCCTTGCTTTTGCGAGAAGATTCTGTAGGAGCAGAGCAAAGGATGACACCAGGCTATATAGCTTCTGAGTGGTCATCTGGTGTCACAGGTGTGACTCTGTTGGTATAATTACTCGAACTGCGCATGCCCGAAGGGAACATTCAGTGCTTTCAGCACCGCCCTCTGGCGGTCATCCGGGATTCATAGAACCGTAGTTACATACGTAACTTTCGTTTTCATCCGCCAAATGTTTTGGGGGTTTTTTTTTCAAAAGAAATTGGGAAAAAAATACTTTTTAATTTTTACAGCTGAATTTATCAGCTTTTTTAGTTGCAATTCAGATTTTATAGAAAACTGTAATTTTAACTTGAATTAAGTCAAAAATATGTAAAATTCCTAAATTCTGAATGTATATTGACCTAATAAGACACAGAATTTTAATTAAATCTAATTGAATAGAAATTTCACCTCATGCAGCTCTCTTAATATATTTGAATCCCTTGCCCTGTTTTTTATTTCATGCTTTTCTGTGCCCCCATGAAAACACGCTGGCCCCCTCCTGGCCCCCTGGTCCGTTTGGTCTAGATCCGCCACTGGGCGTCTAAGAGCTCCCCTTTAAAGGCTGAAAATTCAGGTTTTCAATTCAGTAGCGCCTCCAGAAATGTTTCATAGGGGGGTAACAAAAAACCTTGGGGGTGGAAAACTGAAACTAAAAGTCATAATTTCAGGGTTTGAATCAACTATTGTGGTAAACCTGCCTGTAGAAATGATAAAGACTTAAGTAAAGACCTACTGATATCTTGGTTGGGATGAAATGTTAAACTGATTCTACTACAATTTACACTGGTGAGTGGGGCGGCCACCCCCTGGTGGCGGCACTGTTTCTATTACTCCATTTACTGGAGTGGATGAAGAATTTTGTGAAGATCAGCAGGTTGTTAGAATGAGGTTGGTTAAACTCTCTTCCTCCCTCTTCAAGTTGGCAAACCAACGACGAACCCGTCCGTTGAGGATCGGGAATCGGAAACTGCTGAATATTTAAAAAAATTGGCTTTTATTTAAAAAAAAAAAGCACTGAATGTTGGAAACTGTAAATCATATACCCTTCTTAAACATTCAGTAGTTCCATACAATAACGTTTACGCAAAAATGATTAATAACTAGAATTAAGAAAGGTACCTTTATATGTCACGAAACATATGTCAACTTTTCAGATATTATAAACATGACTGCTCTGAAGTTCGGTTTATAGAGGAAAAAGATGTGCCAGGTTGACATCTAATAGCATTAAGGCTGAATAATCTCAGTGATTAGCTAGTATTACTTCAAGGGTTTTTTCGACTTTATTCAAAAGTAAACATGTTTCTTTATTCATATGTGTTATTAAATTGCATTTAAAAAGTTTCGTGTTACTAAAGAGAGTGGACACTTCAGGAGAAAACCCAGTGGTGCAGCTTTTTACCTCTGTTTGAGTAACTCAGTACTTTTTATATTTACTAAGTGCATTTAAACAGAAATGTGTATATTTTACTTTCGTAAAACGGGTTTGTTACTTCTATACATGTTGATCAAACGATGACTTAGACAACTTTTTTATAAAGCTTTATAACATTTCCATTCATTAATGATGTTACTTTTACAAAAAAAAACAAAAAAAGTAAAATGCATTGCAGCTGATGGAGCCGATTCTGAGATGTTCTGATCCTCCCCCATTGTTAAAGTCGACATTTGATTTATATTCCTTTTATTTTTTAGTTAATGTTATTCTAAACCTCAGTTCAATGTAAAAAATGGAATGGTATATGGTACCATTCTGTAAAAATGAAAAGGTCTTGAGAGCTGTACTGAAAGAAAGTTCTTTTTGTGTAAACTCTGTGTACAAACTGACAATAAAGTCTAAGGAAAGTTGAAATAACTATAATTTTTATACTTTTATCCGATGTATTCTAGCATCTAGCTGCCATGCACGTGGGCATTGTCAGTTTCACTATAGCTCTGGTGAATTTCAATGGTGAAGTCCTCTGGAAATCTTCAATAATTGTTGCTGATTGCAGATGTGTCTAGTAGTTCCCATTGATTTAGCTTGTAAAGCGGGGAGAATGGCGCTAGGCTAACCGGACCGTGACGTCACTGCTGGAAGATGGCAGGAGGGAGGGGCTACTATATTGCAATCTCTTCCTCGCAAGTAACTAAATTAATTGTCTCTGTGCCTTCTTTCTTTCCCTGTATGTATGTATGATGTTTTAGGTGCTTAGACCTGACAAGAACCAATCATGTATGGATTGTCCAGCTCAGATTTAACGTAGAAATGCTGTTTATCAGACGATTGCTTGTGACTGACCTACCTGGATCTGCCCATAGATCTACAAAGTCATGAGGAGGCGGCAGTTTGTGAGGAGCGAGAGGAGCAGACGCTGCCACAGGACGCTGGTAGGATTCAACCAGAACCAGCCTGAAGATTCTGGAACAAGAGATCAGAAACTGATTATGTTATGTTCAGGTATGGAGGCAGCTGAGGGTTCCTTTCTGCCTGGGAACCAGTCTGAGGAAGAGGAGGATGAAGAGCCTGCGATAATCTCTGAACTGATCCAAACAGACGTGAAGGACCCAGTATATCAAATACCTTCAAGGTAACAGATCAACCACCTGTGATATTCAATCATGCTTTCATCATTTACTTAGGTGTGTATTAGGTGAGGCTAAATATGGTTTAACTTCATTATATGGGTCTCATTCACTAAAACTCAACCCTGTAAAACAGAAATTGTGTTTAATGGTTCTTAAGTTTAAAAAACTCAATAGATTCATATTTCTAGTGGATTCATGTGAGTTTTAGGTCTTTGCCTTCATGCCCCTCCAGGTACCAGATCTGATTGGGTCAGTGGAGGCTGGTGGAGTTTTCTCCAGGGTGGGGCTATAAATACAAAATAGACGTATACCAAAAACCAATCAAACGTATACTAAGTTATCACACCAGTATATTTATATGAATGCCAACAACAAAAAACCTGATAAAAACACTTTAAATGTTGCCTTTCTAGGGCTTTGCAAAGGCAAATTTGTGTTTTGCATGATTCATTATCATGTCAAAAACCTAGAAGAATTGTAACACACCTAGTGGTGCAACCTGGACACATCTCCAGTGACTCTCTCGAGATCACTGGGTGTTAAGGGTCTTAGTCATACACCCTCACTTGAGCGACCCAGCCGGGGGTGATCAGTTCGCCGACTTGTGTCCACGTAGCGCACTATGCCACGCCTCCCCCCTCCTCAACCTGAGCCACCGTGAAGCCTTTTCAGCTGCTTCCAAGATGTTCTTGGTGGCTCTTCGTCTCTGCAGACCACAAATCCCTACGAGTCCAAGGACACGGTGTAGAGATCTGCCTGCGAATCCCCTGCAGCCCACTTCAATAGGCTCGCAGCGGGCCTTCCAGCCATTCCTCCGGCACTCAGCCACGAGTTCTCCGTATTTAGTCCTCTTCCTCTCCTGGGCTTCCTCTATTCTGTCCTCCCAAGGAACAGTTAGTTCAAGCAGCACAACCTGCCTGGTGGAAGTTGATGACAGCACCATGTCCGGGCGGAGTTTCGTGGCTGCGATGTAATCCGGGAATCGCAACTGCCTCCCCAGATCGAACAAGAGCTGCCAGTCCCTTGCTGTCGTGAGCAGGCCCCCTTGGGTCTTCTTGAAAGGTTGCAGTTTCTCCCCTGCTCGAACAAAGGCAATCGTGCTCCTGCTTTCCTGCCATAATGTGTTTGATGGGCGCTGCTTCTCATTTAAATCCGAGGTCATGCAGCCAATCAGAAGGGATCTGTAATCATCTTGCAGGTCAGCTCAGTCTGGAAAGAAAAGACGGCGCTCATCTTTAAATATTGACCCCAAAGAGCCTCTAAATCTCAGGATCCGGATCCTGGAGGACTCTGAGACCGAGGTGCTCTCAAATAACGGTAAGTTATATAAACTTACTCTCATCAGTCCAGCTCTGGTCCATCTGTTCCGGTTTCTCACACAGGAATGTCAATGCTCTGTTCCAGTGTTTAAGAAGTGTCCGATCTGGGACCTGCAGTGCCCTCATGGTCTGGAGGAGGCGGCCTTTCTGGACCTGCTCAGGTCCACCTTCCCTCACCTCTCTGCAGGGAAACCTTTTGATACCTTAATAACAGATAGAGGAAGGAAGCTGCAGCCTCTGAGAGTAAAGACTCTGACTCCAGAGGAGATCTACAGAGCCATCAAATCCATCGGGAACTCAACTCTCTACATCCGCCTCAAGGTTCTGACTAACTCTCAGTTGTTTCTTTGATGTAAAGCCTCTTTAACACAAAGCAGGTCTGAGATGTTTAATGTCATGAATCTGTACCGCCTTTTAGGTTAGTTTGGGCCTGAGAACAGGAGTACGGAAGTAAATCTGTGTCGCTGGGATTTGAATTAAAAATGCCACTGAAATTTAAATGTTGTATGTTTGTACTTCCTGTTTCAGTGTTAAAATATATTCAGAACACATTTTTGACCTAAAAAAAATTCATTGTCATTATTTCTACACAGTTGAAATTTCATTTATTTTCTCTTCAAGCTAAAAATTCACCTTACTATTTCAAAGTGATTACATTTTTAATACTTATTTTTAAGTGTTAAAAAAATCTGCTAACGCTAACTCATTTTAGCTAAGCTAACGCTAAATCAAGTACAGAAGAATGAAAGTAATAAACTCACCGTTGAGTTAGCGTTAGCTTGCATGACCGGCTCCGTGATGCTTTTTTTTTCTTCTTTTTTTTTCATACAACTTTATTTGTTTCTGCAAAGAACAATACAGAGCAACCATATTACACTATAGGAATTCACAACAACCATTATTTACAGACATTTTCAACTAGTGTTAATTCACATTTTTACCAGTTAAGTAAATGACCTCGTTTTGTGCAAAACAAGAAAGACAAGAAAAAAATAAACTAAGATCTTACATTTATTAAACAAAAGTTAACGCTAGGGGGAAACTGCGCTCTAAATAATATTAAAAAGGACAAAGGCTTCTCGAGTTTTGATTGCTTTCTTATTTTCTGATAATTGTATGGTGTCAATATATTTAAGTTCGTGCTTAAAAGCAGTAATGCATGGTTTGGAGCCTCTATATTTACATTTATGTATAAAGAACTTGGCCATAATAATAATAAAGTCAATTATATATACCTTATCTGATCTCTTTGTTTGAAACTTGCAATTTCCCTTAATGCCGAATAGTATAGTCTTCCAAAATAAAAGAAAATCTTTGTCTATTTTTTGCTGGTTTTCCTTCCGTATGAGTGCCACAAGCATCACGTCACATGACTAAGAAAACGTAACGGGATTGGCTGGGTGTTGGACGCCACAATCCATTTCTAATGTCTGTGACCTGAAGTAACCCTTCTTTTTTTACACTGAATTTAGACGCCGAATTTAATACGGTGAAATAGAGCCAGTTGAATCTCAGGAGGCTGAAAATATTGAGTTTGAATTTTGAAAGGTTGAATTTTTTTATATGCAGATTTTTTCACACACTGAAAAATTAAACTGAAAAATAAGTATTTTGAAATAGTAATGTGAATTTTTAGCTTGAACAGAAAATAACAAATGAAATTTGAACTGTGTAGAAATAATGAAAATGATTTTTACAAACATACAACATTTAAATTTCAGTGGCATTTTTAATTCAAATCCCAGCGACACAGATTTACTTTCATACAGGAGTTTTTTTTATTTGATTCAGTACTTTGTAGCAACAGCTACGTCAAACCACAGAACATGCTTTTCTATTATAGCTTTCTTTGTTGTGCTTCTGCCCTTTTTAGGCTTAGAGTCTACTATGAGTGAATGTAAATAATGTTGAAATTTCAATGAATATAATATATGACTCTGTTGTAGAAAGAAGAGGTAAAGACAAAGGAAGAGGGAGAACATCTGGGTACTGACCCTCCAACAGCTGAACCTGTGATAATGAAGAATGAGGAAACTGCGCTCCACTTAAGGTGAATTAAGAAAAGGAGAAGAAATTTTTCTTCTTCTTTAATTATTGAACTAAGAATAAACATTTCACCTTATTATTTGTAAGATGATCCTAAAATAACCAGTTCAATACATTACTACTGTCCCACGTATCCATCCAGGGTGATTTGCTTCACCTGGTATTTGGCCCCATACCTAAAAGGTAGAGCTAAATGCAGTCCCTGGCCTTGGCTTGGTGAAGATTCAGGTTTGTTTACAGGTAGAAATCCTACTTTCAGTTCCTGAAAAAGGTGAATTTCTAAATGTACATTGATTTGTCACAAAAATAAGTTTTCTAAATGTTGTTTGGTGAGAAAATGGACCTCAAAAAGTGCTCTGTCTTATCATTATTTTAAATAGTTAAAACAATTATTAGCAGCAGGTTGGATCTCCCCTGTAATGGCTGCAACCTGCTGTAATGTCCGCTATTACCACCTAAAGGGGGGGGGCCATGAGGGACGGTGCAGCAGTCAGAAGATTGACGAAGGCTTAAAGGAATAGTACACCCAAAACATGATTAGCCTTCATTTTCTACTCACCCCCATGCTGAACAACACTCTGGAGTACTTTTTTGATATCTAAAATGCATCTGGAGATCTGGGAGGCTTCTTGCTGTCTGCTGACATTCAAATAATGGAGGTCTATGGCGCCCGAGACAGAAAGGTCCACAAAAAACATGTCAATATTCCTCCATACTGCTCGTCCAATGTATTCCAAGTGTCCTGAGTGGGTAGCGTCCATAATTTACTCGAAATAAAGTAATTTAGAATGTTTTTAGAGCATAAACAGTAGTGTATAGGATTTCCTAAACGCACGCGCCTGCGAGTTCACGAGCCTACGGAAACCACAGCAGACCAAACCAGATGAAAGTGCGCATTCAGCGTCTGCTCTGCCGATAATGCAAGCGTAGAAGAAGAAATGTGCTGTTTACCTGTGCAAAGAAAGAAACAACGAAAGAAAAATGTCTGAGGACTTCAGTGTTGAGGAAGAGCATGAGTTCTTTGCCGAGCTGAATGCGCACTTTCATCTGGTTTGGTCTGCCGCGGTTTCCGTAGACTCGTGAACGCGCTTTTAGGAAATCCTATACACTACTGTTTATGCTCTAAAAACATTCTAAATGACTTTGTTTCGAGTAAATTATGGACGCTACCCACTCAGGACACTTGGAATACATTGGACGAGCAGTATGGAGGAATATTGACACGTTTTTGTGTGGACTTTTATGGACCTTTCTGCCTCGGGCGCCATAGACCTCCATTATTTGAATGTCAGCAGACAGCAAGAAGCCTCCCAGATCTCCAGATGCATTTGAGATATCAAAAAAGTACTCCAGAGTGTTGTTCAGCATGGGGGTGAGTAGAAAATGAAGGCTAATCATGTTTTGGGTGTACTATTCCTTTAAACCTGGGATGTGGAATGTTGAGTCTTTGCGAGGGGAGGAGCCTGAGCTTGTGTGAGAGTTGGAGTGATGCCGCCTAGAAATAGTTGGGCTCAACTTCACATGTTGCCTGGGCTCTGGAACCCAGCTCCTTTGGAGGTTCTACCTTGTGGAGAGACAGAGGGCCGGGACGGGTTTGGGTGTTGGAGTTTACCCTGATGGACGAGCGGGTCGGATCCTTTCGTCTTCTGTTAAAGGGGGGGGGGGTTTCTGATTGATGTTTTGGCCTATGGGCTTAACAGCAGTACCAGTCCTGGTAGTAGCGTCCCTTGGTTAGGGAAGAGGAGCCCCCATGATCCTCCCTGCTGTTCTCACCTTCTTCCAGTCTGAGGCGCTGCAGCCTCCACACCACACAGTGAGACAGCTGGTCAGAACGCTCTCTATGGTGCTTCTGTAGAAGGTGGGGAGGATGGGTGGGGGCAGGTGGGCTCTCCTCATCCTCCACAGGAAGTATATGCGCTTCTGTGCCCTTTTGACCAGTGAGGTGGTGTTTCCAGTCCAGGTGAGGGTGTCTGTGATGAATTTGGTGCTGCTGACCACCTCTACAGCTGAGCTGTTGATGAGCAGTGGAGCGTGGTTAGGCCGGTTCTTCCTGAAGTCCACCATGATTTCCTTCGTCTTCTCCACGTTCAGGGTCAGGCTGTTATCTTTGCACCACCAGCTGCTCCACCTCCTCTCTGTTGGTCGTTGTCGTCTCTGATGAGGCCCACCATCGTGGTGTCGTCTGCAAACTTCACCATGTGATTGGTGGTGAACCTGGGGATGCAGTCATGTGTCATCAGGGTGAACAGCAGGGGGCTCAGGATGCAACCCTGAGGGGAGGGGCTTAGACTGGATGACATCAGAGGTGTTCTGTCCGACCCCGACTGACTGAGGTCTGTTGGTGAAAAAATACTAAATATTGTTTCAGTCCTTAAGCATGTTTCTCCCATGAGATTTATATTTTGGATTTAGTAATTTAGCACATATATCTGTGCTTGATTCAGAATAAAAGGTGGCATTTTCTAACGGCATCAAAGTGAATAACTTAAAAAAGCTCAAATAGCTACTAAAGAGTTTTAGGACTAGGAACCCCTCTAGAAACTCTACAGATAATTTTACAAAGAATTCTTCATAAAGTGAAAAATGACAGCAGTGAGCCTCGTCTTCAGAAGATGGTTAAACAACAACAGAGAGTCTTCAGTAGGAGGTTTATTTAGTTTCTGTGTAACACACTCCACTCCAGAAGATCCTTCCTGCCTATATATATCAACATCTAATTGAATAACTGCCCATGATTCAATTTCCCTTTGGGATAAAGTATTTTTGAAATAAATTTGAATTGAATTACTAAAATGCTAACATTTCCCAGAAATATTGGAAAAATAGGAAGAACAGTCGCAATATTTTCTTGGTTTAATTGATTGATCTAAATCTTTAACTCTCCGTGTCGTGTTGTGTCCTGTTCTTCTTATGCAGCATGTCACAGCAAAGTGTACCAGACAGCAAAAAGATCTTTATGTTGAGCTCAACATCCCAACAAGACCTCAAAACAGAAGAGGGTGAAATTGAGAGTGACGTGCACTTCAGCAGTGATGAAGAAGAGGGATTGGCTGGATATAGGGAGTCGAACCCAGATTATGGACCACACAAACAAACAAGAGAAGAGAAATCAAGCAGTAATAAGAGGTGAGTTATCCTAAAATCAAGTCCATAACTTTAATTACTGTTTGAAAGCTCTAATCAACGGTGGATTAAGCGTAGATACAGAATGCAAACAGGTTTACACTTCAATCTTTGAAACTCAACTATAGGTTCTCTACCAGGGGCCTTGCAGCCTCGGGGTTCTAAGAACTGCTTTTGGATTTCCTTGAATTATCCTCCTTTGCATAGAGATCTTTGGGATATATTCTGGTAACTGAAGGCACTACTTCCCCAGCTTAGGAGTACGTCAGTGACCAATGAAACCATGGAGACTATGGAAACATTTTTGTTATCTGCATCTCATCCTGAAAGGAGGAGGTTTCTGTAATCCGTGACCTTTCTGGAAATTTGCTGACACTCTTACACCAACATGAGAGTATCATTCCTGAGATAACTGTTGAGTGTAAATGGCACGCCAAACTGAACCGGACCGCACCAGGCACAACCAAACCGCTCTAAACTGGTACTAGTTCATGAGTAGGGCTCGCCGTGGTTTTGTTCTGGCTCGGTTCTCAGATAACAAAGAGCGTATGAGTCATCTCCTTACAGTCAGCTTCTCCAATTGTGAAATTTCAGAGATTCATAAAAATACTAGCTTCCCTACCGTGCTACACAATTTCCAACAATGATTCTGCTTAGCAGTGTGATGAACATCAACTTCTATCGTTGTTTCCTGCGTCTGTAAGCCCTGGTTAGACTATTGTTTGTCGTGTCCACTTCCCAAAAGCCGACTCTGTCAAGTAAATTCACCAAAGGCTGCCTTCTTCGCCGGACTGTCCTCAAGCAGCGGAATATCACTATTATAACCAAAGTTCCTGAATGTTACGGCCGCCACCATGATGATTTGCTTGTTTCCCTCTAGAGAGTAGTAGTACCGGGGATTGTCACTAGGAGGCGAGGAAGTGTGCTAGAGTGGTTTGTAGTGTGTAAACGGTCGTAAGAAACTGAGCTAGGCACTGTTATCTCATCCAAGCTCGCTCCGAACTTGGCATGAATTGGTTTTCAGAGGGTAGTGTAGTGTAGTGTACGATTAAATTAGTTCTCTCCCCCAGATATACATCCGCGCTGAAATCATTATTATTGACCCAGCTCCCAACCCAACTGTGAGAATAGATTAACAGCGATATTTGCTTTATCGCCCGATAAGCCGATAACAGCCTAATTTATATTAGTGGTGGGAAGATTCCCACCGTTTGAGAAGAGCGTTTGAGAAGATTCTGGGACATCAGGTATACGCTGGCTAAATTAGCAAGGTGTGACAGGGCCCTAAATTTGCTTCCTCACTACATCAGTATTGCTTTCAAATTGTTTTCATTTTCTTTGCAGTGATTTTCAAGAAAGTACCAAAGGAGAACATGCTTGCAACACAACCTCCAGTGGTGAGAACGACAAGGATACAGACAAACCTGAGCGTAAGACACCGAAAATGAGGAGAAAAAAAGAAGGATGGAAGAACAGTAAGAAGATTAGGTCTTGCACAGTTTGTGGGGTCACATACAGAAATTTGGGAAATTTGCTTAAACATACCTTGAACCATCCCCTCAACCCCCAGAATATTTGTGGAGCCTGTGGAAAGGGCTTTGATTCTGAGGACAACTTGAAAAAACATATCCGAAAGCATAGAAAGTCTTACAACTGTCTGCATTGTGACAAGTCTTTTTTCAGCAGAGAAAGCCTCAGGTGCCACATTATTAAGGTTACAGGAGAAAACTTGCTTGAATGTAATGTTTGCAGTAAAAGGTTTCCGAGCCAAAAACGGCTGAACCAGCACCGATGGATCCACCTAGAAAATAAACCCTACAGGTGTGATATGTGTCCACAATCTTTCGGTCTGGAGTCACGTCTCCGAGCTCACAGAAAGCGGCACAGCAGCAAAGTTGTTTTGTTCCACACAGGAGAGACTCCCTACAAATGCAACGAGTGCAAACGCCGCTTTAAATCCAAGAATCAGCTTACCCAGCACATGAAGACCCATTCAGGCATTAAAGATTTCATCTGTAGTATTTGTGGCAAAGGTTCTTCTAAACCTGAACATCTAAAAATTCACATGAGAACCCACACTGGAGAGAGACCCTACAAGTGCTCTCTTTGTGACAAAGCCTTCACCCAGAGCCACTGCCTGAAAAAACACATGAAGACTCACCAGACTGAAGAGTCGCCTGCGATCCCTCCCGCTACTGAAGATGGTTCATTTAGTCCGAAATGAGGGACAGATATTACATTTATGCCTTCCTTTACTTTATTGTTCAAATGGTTTTTGAATTTAAATGTTGATTTGAGATTTTGTGAAATGACATGACTTTCCGATTAATTTTTCAATCACACTGTCATTGGCACTGTTGACTTGGAGCAAAAACGTCCTTGGTCGAGATTCCGACCTGGGGTCTTCCCAAGTGGAGATGTTCCCCTCATGCATCCGTTGGTTCTCTCTTGGCATGCTGGCTTCTTCACATAGTCCAAAAATAACAATTTTGTTTGGTTAATTGGCTTCTCATAAGTTGTTCCAAGGAACATAAGCTGTACTTCAACATGTCACTTAAGTAGAAGTAAACTAAATTTTATTCAGAAATTACTCTGAAGACACGTCAGCGAACAGTTTCCTTTCAGAGGCCTATCTTTGGTGTTAATAGATGACTGAGAGTATTTAGACTGATCTTTTTAAGATGGCGTTGAATCCTTCTTAAAGCATCCAAGGTTCATCAGGTGCATTACCACATCTAATCTATTTTTCTTAGAACAGTCCTTCCAGTGACAATAGATTACAGTATATACACATGACTGGCAAATGGTCCAGTAGGCACAATAGATGGGAAATAACATGAGAAAAACAAAACTTGTGTATAAACAAGAGGTTTATCTGCAACAAATCTGTTGGTGTCTCAGGTTAAAAATTTGTTCAAAATAATCCTGTTTTGCAGAAATGTTTAATTTTGTTCCTTTCTTTTTATTGTCCTTAAACTGTCACAAGTACAGAGCAATGAAATAAATTCCCTGCATTTAACCCATCCCCTTGGGGAGCAGTTGTTCATTGTGCAGTGTGGCGATTAAGGGTCTTAATCAGGGACCCAGAGTGGCAGTCTGTGGGAGTGGGCTTAAACTCAGAATCTCTGGATTCCAAGCGCAATTTCCTAACCGATAGACCGCCACTCCCCTAATGCGATAAAAAAGTCTTGAATTTAAGTTGGTGAGTCTTTTAGAAACCCTGTCACAAGGAAAGCTTATCCTTTGGGCTTGATCGCATCTTAAACATTATACGTATGGCTCACCACAACTAATGGTAAATACCTCGTTGGCAAGAGACCAACTCAATCTGATGTCCCAGAAACTGAAAACTTAGTACCACCTCCCTGTTCAATAAATTAACTATATATGAAACTGATGTAAAGAGACGCTACCAAATATTTTGCTATATCCTCTACAGGGATAATACAGCTTCTTCTCAATACACTGCATGACCTTATACTTTTTTCAAATGTAGATTACTGAGAGAAATTCATCTTTCCAAGAGAAAAATGCTTTTGGACGAACATTCGAGGTTTGTAAATGCTGTTAAACAGACATCCTATAGTTGTTCTACCAGACGTGTCTCCATACCATCGTGTTCTTCTTAAGAACATTGGAGTTGAAGTTGTACTCAAAGAATGCAACCAATGAGGTCCAAACACTAAAGGAACTAACCTTTCTTACGTACAGGCTGTTCTGCCCCTTGTGGATGACTTCCCAATTGGGTTTCCAGTCGAGTTTTTTGTCCAGCCGAACACTAAAGTGTTTATACTCCTCCACCACCCCCACTTCTTGTCCCATGGCTTGCACTCTTATCAGAGAAAAACAAGACTGTGACCTGATCTTATAGAATTAGGCAGTGTTGGGAAAGTTCTCTTTCTACGTGAACTAGTTCAAAGTTCAGTTCACACATTTTAAAATGAACTAGTTCAGTTCATAGTTCATAATTCAAAATTTTGAACTAAGTTCCAAAATATGAACTAGTTCATAGTTCTTTTTTATTTTTCATATATTACTCAATTACACCATAGCCTACTGTAGAACCACAGACAGCAATTATTTTATCAGTTGTAACTGAAACTGTGCGTCAGATTTCATCTTCATATCCAGTTTTGAATCCTTATCCAACCAGGGTTTACATTAGCATTGAGGGGACAGCATTTCCCCATTGTTGCTTTAACGCTTTGTTGCTGTTCATTCACTTCACACTAGTAGCAGCTGCAGCTTTCACCCCTACAGTATATTCTCAAAAACATCAGGAAAAATGTGCTGCTTCTTCTGCTTAATAATTCTGAGGAATTATTAAAAGAAAAACAGGAAAGTAGTCTTTAAGGTGCAAATGTTTTTTTTTATTTTGATATTTTTTTCTATTTGAAATTTCATTTCAGTACATGCTAAAAAGGAATGCTGGAAAATTATACCAGGCAGGTTTAAGTGCGGATTTTTTTTACTGAAAGCCGGCGGGCAAAGTTTGCAGAGAAATGTCAGATTGTTGCCATCATCCTCACCAACCACCTGGTCATGAAACTGTTTTAAGTGATCATACTGCTGGTTTGTCGCCTCCATGCTGCTGTGGCTTCCACGCTGCACTTTGTTTTGATGATGCAGGCGGCTGTAGGCTACGACACTGGTAGCTGGTGTTGCCAGATTGGGTGTTTTTCCCGCTACATATTAAGGCCTGTTTACGGTGTGATTTAGCCGGGGTTTCGCCTGGAGGACTCTATAGAAATCTGGCAACCTATTGAACGGAGTTGAACTGAGAGAGCGTGTTGTTCACAGACACCAAAATGAATGAGTTCACAATAACGTTCATCAGGCAGTAATGCAGTACGTTCAGTTCACGTTCGCCCAAAATATGAACGAGTTCATGAACGCGTTCAGGCACAACACTGGAATTAGGTCTTCCTATACTGTTATACGAGTCCTTGAAATTTTCTGTACACAAATCCAAGATTTCTTTCCTCTGGTTAAGCAGTTGAAAAACTGTAGGAATGTTAATAGTATAGCAGAAAGTGGGGCATGATCGAAATCACCAGTTATTGCCACTGAGAATATCATTTGCCCAGAGAGTTTACCAGTGTTCTCTTGGTAACTGTTTACATTCCACCTTATGCCATTGCCTGATGTCATCAGTTGTTTAGTTGCTAAGCTACATACACAACAGCCAAATGCGTTACATTTGTGCAGATTACAGGACATCCAATACCTGATGGAGACCTCTCATCTGCTGAAATAATATACCAGATTTCAAAAGTAACAGGAACAAGTTGAATCCTGTTAATTGGAGTTGGTGGAGTACCACCTTGGTGTTCACTTTGACAAGAAAGGACAGAGCAGAATTGACAACATCAGTATTGCTTTCAAATTGCTTCATTTTCTTTGTAGTGATTGTCATGAAAGTACCAAAGACAAATCTGAGTGCAACACAGACTCCAGTGGTGAGAACAATCAGGATATAGACAAACCTGAACGTAAGACCCAGAAAAGGGGGAAACAAAGATGGCTGGGAGAGGAGTGAGGAGATGATGTCTTGCAAAGTTTGTGGGGTCACATACAGACAATTGCCAAGTTTGCTTAAGCATACCTTGAATCATCCCCTCAACACTCAGAGTATTTGTGGAGCCTGTGGAAAGGGCTTTAAATCTGAGGTTGTTAAAATGAGGAGGATTTGTCCCCTTGGAAGAAAGGCTGTAGCGCCCCGGGGACCTCCTCACTGGTTTTTTTTCCTGGGAGCAAGTTATTTACTACTCTTAACTCAAACTGGGTAAAACCATATAAAAAGGACTATAAAACAGGAGTAAAAAATAACAGACTTTATTCCAGATCAGGTCGTTACAGGACAGAGTAAAATGCTTAGACCTTGCACAGCTGTGGTCTCAAAATCACGTCCGCAAGCGTCCGGCAAAGTTTGGGCCCCAAACAAGGTCATCACCTCCTTCTTATAGCTCAAGAGTCTACGTGTTGCATCATGTTGATGTTTAGCTGTCCGTATCAGAAACTGACACGCCATCCATGTCTTGAACTTCATGCAGCTTGCTTCTATGCTTCAGGGTTACAGATACAGTAGCTCTCCTATCAGACCGGCTCCAAGATGTGCCCATATCCTGTGTATTCTTAAAGACACGAAGGCTGTCCTAATTAGATGACCTCCGTACACACAGTGACGTCCACAATGTGAAGGAAGGCCTTCTACTCTGTCTAATCTGACTAACAAAATAACAATGCACATGATGTATAAATGATAAACCTAACAAGGTCAACTTGAAGAAACATATCCATAGTCACAGAAAGTTTTACAACTGCATTGTGACAAGTCTTTCAACAGAGAAAGCCTCAGGTGTCACATTCTTAAGGTTACAGGACAAAAACTTGCTTAAATGTAATATTTGCAGTAAAACATTTCCAAGCCTAAGTCAGCCGAACCAGCACCGATGGATCCACCTAGAAAATAAACCCTACAGGTGTAATATGTGTACACAATCTTTCGGTCTGGACTTACATCTCCAAGCTCACAGAAAGCATCACACCAGCAAAGATGTATAGAAATGCAACGTACGTGCAAGACATTTCCTATAAAACCGACGCTGACGCGCCACATCCAGACGACTCACAGCAGCGACAAGCCATTTCCTTGTACAGTGTGGTAGAGGCTTCAAACTCTGTGGAGACCTAACCAAACACATGAAGGTACACACTAAGGGTGTCAGTGGCGTTGGATGTAGGAGTTTGCCCTAATATCGATGGATTAACAGTTCAAGCCCAGGCTCTGACTTTCATTGTGGTCGTGTCCTTGGGCAAGACACTTCACCTGCATTGTCTCCTGTTGGTGGTCAGAAGGCCGGGTGGTGCCAGTGTACGGCTGCCCCGCTTCTGTCAGTGAGCCCCAGGGCAGCTGTGGCTACAATGTAGCTTGCCACCATCAGTGTGTGAGTGTGTGCCTGAATGGGTGAATGAATGTAGTGTAAAGTGCTTTGGTCAAGTCTCCTGACTTGAAAAAAGGTGCTATATAATTACATGCCATTTACCATTCACACTAATGAAGCTTCATTTAAATGCAGCCAGTGTGGACGCTGCTACCAACAAAAGACTAACATTACCCAACACATCAAGACCCATTCAGGCATCAAAAGGTTTGTCTGTGGAGTTTGTGGCAAAGCTTGTTCTCGGCAAGAACACCTGACCGTCCACATGAGAACCCACAATGGAGACAAACCATACAAGTGTTCTCGGTGTGATGAAGCCTTCACTCAGAGCCACTGCCTTAAATCACACATGAAGAGCCACCAGGCTCAAGATAAACACTTTGGCTTAATCCTAAACTACCCCCTCAGCACTAACCCTTAACAAGTGTCACTGCCAACGCAAGTGTCACTTGCAGACTTTATTGGCAGGCATCTTGATTGAAAGCAGGGGTGTCATTGTGTCTGATAATGCATGCATTACCAGACACAATGACACCCCGTGTGTGGCTGTAGCTCCGTGGTGCAGGTTAGCATAACATCAAACATTTGCCCCTTTCTTTAAAAAAATGTACAGGTGCTGGTCATAAAATTAGAATATCATGAAAAAGTAGATTGATTTCAGTAATTCCATTTAAAAAGTGAAACTTGTATATTATATTCATACATTACATACAAACTCATATATTTCAGATGTTTATTTTGTTTAATTTTGATGATTACAAATGACAACAAATGAAAATCTCAAATTCATCATATCAGAAAATTAGAATATTGTGAAAAGGTTCAAAATTGATGGCCCCTGGTGCCACACTCTAATCAGCTAATTAACTCAAACCACATGCAAAAGCCTTTAAATGGTCTTTCAGTCTAGTTCTATAGGCTACACAATCATGGGGAAGACTGCTGACTTGACAGTTGTCCAAAAGACGACCATCGACACCTTGCACAAGGAGGGCAAGACACAAAAGGTCATCGCTAAAGAGGCTGGCTGTTCACAGAGCTCAGTGTCCAAGCACATTAATAGAGAGGTGAAGGGAAGGAAAAGATGTGGTCGAAAAAAGTGTACAAGCAAGAGAGATAACCGCACCCTGGAGAGGATTGTGAAACAAAACCCATTCAAAAATGTGGGGAAGATTCACAAAGAGTGGACTGCAGCTGGAGTGAGTGCTTCAAGAACCACCACACACAGACGTATGAAAGACATGGGTTTCTGCTGTCGCATTCCTTGTGTCAAGCCACTCTTGAACCACAGACAGCGTCAGAAGCGTCTTGCCTGGGCTAAAGAGAAACAGGACTGGACTGCTGGTGAGTGGTCCAAAGTAATGTTCTCTGATGAAAGTAAATTTTGCATTTCCTTTGGAAATCAAGGTCCCAGAGTCTGGAGGAAAAGAAGAGAGGCACTTCATCCACGTTGCTTGAAGTCCAGTGTAAAGTTTCCACAGTCAGTGATGGTTTGGGGTGCCATGTCATCTGCTGGTGTTGGTCCATTGTGTTTTCTGAGGTCCAGGGTCAACGCAGCCACATACCAGGAAGTTTTAGAGCACTTCATGCTTCCTGCAGCTGACCAACTTTTTGGAGATGCAGATTTCATTTTCCAACAGGACTTGGCACCTGCACACAGTGCCAAAGCTACCAGTACCTGGTTGAAGGACCATGGTATCCCTGTTCTTAATTGGCCAGCAAACTCTCCTGACCTTAACCCCATAGAAAATCTATGGGGTATTGTGAAGAAGAAGATGCAATACACCAGACCCAAAAATTCAGAAGAGCTAAAAGCCACTATTAGAGCAACCTGGGCTATCATAACACCTGAGCAGTGCCACAGACTGATCGACTCCATGCCACGCCGCATTGCTGCAGCAATACAGGCCAAAGGAGGCCCAACTAAATACTGAGTGCTGTACATGCTCATACTTTTCATGTTCATACTTTTCAGTTGGCCAACATTTCTATAAATCCTTTGTTTTTATTGGTCTTCAGTAATATTCTATTTTTCTGATATGATGAATTTGAGATTTTCATTTGTTGTCATTTGTAATCATCAAAATTAAACAAAATAACCATCTGAAATATATGAGTTTGTATGTAATGTATGAATATAATATACAAGTTTCACTTTTTAAATGGAATTACTGAAATCAATCTACTTTTTCATGATATTCTAATTTTATGACCAGCACCTGTATAAGGTCAAAACAATTTTAAAGAGAACTTTCCATTTTTGAATGGATTGTGTTTTTTTCATGTAACAACTTGTCATTTTCTGTCAGCGTGACGAAGAGGCAGCAAACCAGCAGAATTTATATTTTGGAAGGTGTTTCCTCGGCCAACAGGCCGCTTTTACACCTACTGCCGAATTCCAGCCAGCCTGCATCTGATGCAGACTCGCTATTTAAAGGCTGAACGTTCGACTGGCCGTACCCATTACGTGGTTTGGGATTGCACTTAATGTGGCGGACCCTCCCCAGCAAGGCACAAGCGGAGGGTTAGTGCTTAGGGGCGGGTTTGCGACTGGGCCTTGTTTCAGTCAGGAACAAAGCTTTACCTTTTATCTCTGACCCTGCTGTCACTCTATCTGTGTGAAACACAGTGCAGTCTGATAATCACTGAACTGCATCTGTAGTGTTTTACTATAGGAAATATGTTACCATGGCAAGTTACCTGGTCCTTAATAGTCATTTGGTTTTGTATTTCTCTATGTTCTACCCTTGCACGGGCAGGTTAGTAATAATTGCTAAGCTATCAAGAGAACACCACAAAGCCTCTCTATGGGCTACCACTTAAGTCTGTTTTGAGCCCAGAACTCCTTTTCTCTGTATTTAATGAAATTGGGGGGAAAAAATAAAAAAAGTTTTTTTGTTTTTTTGTACTGTTAACTCTTAAAGAGACGAAATTAGAAGAATGGTTGGAAGAACAAGCCAAGAATGGAATATTGGGAAATGAAGGGAATATAAATTATATTCACAGATTAAGCAAAGCATTATTTATGTACAGAATACACAATTCAAAAGCAGAAATTGATGTAAACTAATGTTGCTACACACTCGTGTACAGTAGGTGGCGGTATGCGCAATGAAGTTGCGTTCCGCCATGATAGAAAAGAAGAAGAAGAAGGTGTTTTGCTCCTACACGGACTGCTTTTCTGAAACACCACAAACCGGAAGTGAGTGCGTGACAACGACTGACAGAAATTTTGGATCCCGATTGAGAAAGCCCAGCATGTTCTACTGCAGCAGCGGCGGTTCTGATCCGCTCGATGTGTCTAAAAGCGAACTGTTGAGAGGAATCATCACCGAGAAGCTGAGCACCGCGGCCCGGGAGATCATAGCGGTGGTGGGAAGGACCGTAGCCGACTATGAGAAGGAGGCTTCGGGCTTGAGGCAGCAGATCGCCCGCCAGAAGAGGCAGCTGGAGAGGCTGCATCCGCAGGTCACCACGTTTGGAAGAGGTCAGTGAAAGACAGGCGGTTTTAATCTGCTATTGTGCCGCTGAGGTGTTGATCAGCTTGTTTATGGCTGAACTATCTGGATCTGCTCCCAGGTCTCCAGAGCCATGAGGAGGTGGATGATGTGGAGGAGCAGGAGGTCACAGGTAGGACTCACCTGGAAGCCCAGCCTGAAGATGCTGGCTCATCTTAAAGATCAGAAGCAGATGATGATGATGCTGCTGTGTTCAGGTATGGAGGCAGCAGAGAGCCCCAGTCTGCCTGGGAACCAGTCTGAGGAGGAGGATCCTGCAACAATCTTTGAGCTGGTTGAAGAAGAAGAGGAGGACCCAGATTATCCTTCATCATCAAGGTAGCAGATCAATCACCTCTGAGGACTAATTTTGTGTTTAAATAGAATGATCTCATAGTATTACAGCCTTAACTCACACTTCATGGTTAAAGGGTTAAACTCAATAATCACCCTCACCTGATAACAGAACTTAAAATGTTTAGTTAGTAAAACAAGTAGGTTTGTTGTTACTCCTTGAATGGATGTCCTATTAGATCATTAGTCTCTGTGTTGGTGGATCAGAATAGTTTATTGTGAAATTTCACAACTGATCTGTTTTTATTCACTGGATTACTGACATGAAAAAAGTGAAGCCACCGTCCACCATGCTGGTACCTCCCACTCCCATGGAGATGCACAGGAAAAATGTGTAGCAAATATGTATACATTTATGTGTGTGTATATATATATGTATATATATATATATATATATATATATATGTGTGTGTGTATGTGTATATATGTGTATATATGTGTGTATGTGCGTATATATATATATATATGTGTGTTTGTGCGTATGTATATATATGTGTGTTTGTGCGTATGTATATATGTGTGTTTGTGCGTATGTGTGTATATATGTGTGTTTGTGCGTATGTGTGTTTGTGCGTGTGTGTATATATGTGTGTTTGTGCGTATGTATATATGTGTGTTTGTGCGTATGTATATATGTGTGTTTGTGCGTATGTGTGTATATATGTGTGTTTGTGCGTATGTATATATATGTGTGTTTGTGCGTATGTATATATATGTGTGTTTGTGCGTATGTATATATGTGTGTTTGTGCGTATGTATATATGTGTGTTTGTGCGTATGTATATATGTGTGTTTGTGCGTATGTGTATATGTGTGTTAGTGCGTATGTGTGTATATATGTGTGTTTGTGCGTATGTATATATTTGTGTGTTTGTACGTATGTATATATGTGTGTTTGTGCGTATGTATATATGTGTGTTTGTGCGTATGTATATATGTGTGTTTGTGCGTATGTGTGTATATATGTGTGTTTGTGCGTATGTATAAATATGTGTGTTTGTGCGTATGTATAAATATGTGTGTTTGTGCGTATGTATAAATATGTGTGTTTGTGCGTATGTATGTATATATGTGTGTTTGTGCGTATGTGTGTATATATGTGTGTTTGTGCGTATGTGTGTATATATGTGTGTTTGTGCGTATGTGTGTATATATGTGTGTTTGTGCGTATGTGTGTATATATGTGTGTTTGTGCGTATGTGTGTATGTGTGTTTGTGCGTATGTGTGTATATATGTGTGTTTGTGCGTATGTGTGTATATATGTGTGTTTGTGCGTATGTGTGTATATATGTGTGTTTGTGCGTATGTGTGTATGTGTGTTTGTGCGTATGTGTGTATATATGTGTGTTTGTGCGTATGTGTGTTTGTGCGTATGTGTATATATGTGTGTTTGTGCGTATGTGTGTATAAATGTGTGTTTGTGCGTATGTGTGTATGTGTGTTTGTGCGTATGTGTGTATATATGTGTGTTTGTGCGTATGTATCAGAGATGGGGACTCGAGTTTGTGACTCGTACTCGAATCGCACTTAAGTCGCATATTTAATGACTTCAGACTCGACTGAGACTCGTGATTTCCAACTTGTGAACAATATTTTATTCCAGTGTAAAAACACTTATTCAAGTGTTTTTTGTTTTACTAACTTGACTGATCGCCGCTTGCCTTACCCGCACACAGAAGAAAACTCAAAGACCCAAACCGTGAAGCACTCAAGTTAAAGTGTTTTATTTATACAAAAAGCCACAGCAAAAGTAGCATAATAAAACAGTCCTTTTCTTCTCCTGATAAAACCTAAAATTCAAGAGTTTTCCTTAAAAATCAGAGGCTGGAAGTTGGGCTCCGCTTGTTATGCTGCTTCAGGTGCGAGTGATCGGCCTGGAGCACCCACTGGCTGATCCACAGACTCTGCGGCGCTCCAGCACTGTTCCACTCCCTGGCGTGCCAAACCCCTTTCCAGACCGATCCAGCTAAAAAGAGAAGCAAGGAGAACGCCAGCATCCACGCGCCAAAACCACGTCGGAAGATATATTCCCGTTTATGCTTTAAGCGAGGGGGAGCGCTACTTACCGGCGAGGTTCCCCCTCTGCCCTAATACTCCTTACTGGGACGGCACGGATCCCGCCTGCATCTCCCCCAGCAGCGCGTCCGTCTATGTCACCTTCAGATTCCGTTCTCCTTCTCCTTTCCTTCAGACTCCTTTTATGTCGGCTTTAATCAGCCCTTGCTCACACCTGAGCGCAGCAATTACGCAGCGCAATTAATGCACTCCGCCTCCTTAGACAACTTCTTCAGTCCAGTGCGCATGGATTGTCACAAGGGAAAAACAAACCAAAACAACCCAACATGCAGGAAAAATTTCAAAAGTCTAAAATAAAGGAAAACAATCATATAAAAAAGAAACATCAAAACATGCAAAGCTCAAGAAGAAAATACAAAGAAAAACAAATCATATCTTCCTCTCCAAACATGCAAAGCATAATACTAACATTAAAATGAAAGAAAACCATAAATTATATTTTTCCCTGTGCAACACACTGACGTCACTGATGCAACATTACGTGGACGGCAGGATTGTGATTGTTTTTTTTTTTCCACAGTCCTCATTTTCAATTAAAGAGCAGACATTTACTGCTAAAACTAGAAAAAGTTGTAACCACAAATGTCAGGAAATACTGTAAGAAAATGCAAAATTTATCTTGAAAAAAATTTTGCGTGTGCTTTTTTTAATTGTATTTTTCATTTAGCAGTTCCAGATAATGATAATTCCATAGATATAATAGCGACCTTTAAGCTATACCGTCTCAGTGACGGAGATGAAAACACATGGAGAAACAAGCAAGCACAAAAATTATTGTACTTTTTTAAATTAATCAAGTGATTAGAATTTTTTGTGCGATTAATTGATTATTGCGACAGGCCTTCTCAAGACTTGAGACTTGACTTGGACTTGCAAAAAATGACTTGTGAACATGTCTGGTATGTATATATGTGTGTTTGTGCGTATGTGTGTATATATGTGTGTGTTTGTGCGTATGTATATATATGTGTGCATGTATGTATGTGTGTGTTTGTGCGTATGTATATATATGTGTGCATGTATGTATGTGTGTGTTTGTGCGTATGTATATATATGTGTGCATGTATGTATATATGTGTGTATATATATGTATATATGTATGTATATGTATATATATGTGTGTGTGTGTATGTATATATTTATATATACATGTGTATGTATATGTGTATAAATGTGTATATATATATTATATGTATATATATATCACTGATTCTTGAGAGTCAGGACAAAACACGTTTTAAAAAAATATTTTTAAAAACACACACTATATCAATTAGAGTGATATTTTTCTGCAGAGAAAGGTCTTAGTTATTTAACTATGTAAAGGAACAGGTTCTACATAAAAACACATTTTTAACAAATAAACATGTTTCCCTTCAGAGCTGAATTTGTGTCAACTCCGTCAGACACACTAAAAAGTATACAATTTTAATTCTTCCAATCATACAAGAATCTAAAGTTCTGAAGTATACTATAATAATGTTTAATTAGTATATATATATAAAAAAACATAATGTATAAACTTAAGTTGTGATTTCACACTATTTTGAAAACTCAGATTTCTAAATATTTGCATTTTCAAACTTTGATTTTAATTTCAATATTGTAAAAACAAGTTTCTTAAATAAATAAAACATAAGAGGATGTAAATCAGATGGTCCTTTATTACAAAAACAACATAAACTGAAGGAAGAATATTTTTTCTCCCAAAAAATTTACAAAAACATACATCCAACGCTGTTGACGAAGATCTGACGGTGTTGACGAAAAACTGACGGTGTTGACAAAAAATGCGTGCATTGCTGATTGAATGAACAGATTTGCTCTTTGACCACTACTACTAAAACTACTCCTTGTTAACAGAGAATTTAGCTTACTGTAAAGCAAACTATAATAAACATTTTGCACATACAACGTTTCTAACTATTATAAATTACACCGTTTTCAACTATAAAAAAAAACAATAAGGAAAACAAGGGGCCCTCCTTCCCCTCTATTTTCATCTGCCACCCCTATACCACTTTCTTCTCTTCATCTTCTCATCCACCTGTTCTTCTCTTCCTTTCCTCCTTTGTAAGTAGCCATTTACTTTGAAGTGGTGTGTGTGTGTGTGTGTGTGTGTGTGTGTGTGTGCGTGTTTGAGTGTGTTTGCACTGCCTACTTTATACTGGGTGTGATCTTAAATTGACATCGTTTGACAAAAATACTGCAACACATAATCTGTATTTTAGAATTATGTTCAAGTAGGTTACTTAAGATTTCATTTTTGTCTAATCTGCACTTCTGCCTTGAGCAGCAGGCGTCGGACATGCTCCCTCTCTATAAAGTCCATCACATCAGGGGCTATGCTGTAGATCTCTCGTTTTATTAATTTGACTGGTGATGCATTTCCCATTAGTTTCACTATGATGTCTTCAACTGGGCGGAAACAGACATCCTTTGCGTGCATTGCTCACAAAGGATGTCTATATGATGACCACTGGTGGCATCATATACTACTACTAGCCAGTCTCTATTATTAAGGCTGCTAACAGTTGTTACTGTCACAGTACCCTCAGGACCTTACAGAGGCTCCTCATCCAACTCCTCCTCCATTACATCTTCCATTTCCATATCCTCTCCCCCCACTCCCATCTCTTTTTCCATCTCCTCCAACAACAGGGCCAAAGGCCTTTTCTTCCCTGCCCTCTTTGTATGACTCTGCTGTTCCTCTGGGTAGCCATGAAAATAGAAGGCATGCATGCTATGTATGTGCATTTATGTGTAAATAAAACCTTGAAATATCAGTTTAACCTTTCACTATAGTCACAAATAATATTATATTTGCACATTAAGAGGTCATTGGTGGTTTTGTCAACTCTGTCAGACATAGAACCTGACGGAGTTGACGTCTGACGGAGTTGACGTAAGGGCATGTATTTTCCCTCCAAAACATGTATTGTACACTGCAGCTAGGTACTTTTTCCTCAGTTGCTAGCTGTCCCAATAACCTCCCTAAAATGCTTAAATTCAATCCACTATGGTTTAAAAAAAAGTATCTCAACTGAAAGACAGTATTGACAATGTGCAGCTGTGACCATAGGAATATTGACATTCTTTGTCTCAAATATGAAAAAAAATTAAAACATACCAGATCATGTGTGGTAGTGTTGCATTCATCACAGACAGGGAGATAAAGAGGGGTCCTCAGAGATAAAGCTGACCATGCTATTGCATGATATAAAGAGCTTTATGAAAAAATCTGACGGAGTTGACAGAAACTGAGGACACAACTTTAATAGGCAGATTTTTATGGAAAATATAGTTTAATGTTGACTTCATGTGTTGTTTTTTATATTTATACCCCTTATTTTTTATTTGATATTTCTGTTTTCACAATTTTAGAGCATTTTTAAGTTTTTTGGGATGGTTAATATTGTGACCTATTGCTGAGGACAAGTAAAATAACATGGACTTCCTAACCAAAGACAATATATTTAAACAAATTTTCCCCAAAAAGATAAAAAAGTTTATTCTAAAAATCCGATAGGTATATAAAATTCCTTTGGATTTAACTTTGTAAGTATGTAAATCATGATGAATTTATTATTTTTTGCTATAAATTAGAATTTTTTTTGTGGGACATGTTTTGTCCCGACTCTCAAGAATCAGTGATATATTATATGTATATATTATATGTATATAAATATATATATATATATATATATATATATATATATATGTGTGTATATATGTATTATATGTATATATATATATACACATATATATATATACATATATATATATATATATGTGTATATATATTTGTATGTGTGTATATAAGTGCGTCAGTGTGTATATATATATATACACATGTATTAGACTCCATTAACACATTAATGTTGTTGTGTTAAATTTGTATAATATGTTATATTACATGATTTATAGACCTCATTGACTTCATACTGACTAGACAATGTGCTGGGTTTATATTTCTAGTAGAAGTTAAAGTAATCTACTGATGCTATGAAACAGCCAGTGTGTGTCAAAGTGATGAATTTATCTTTATTATAAAAGTCTTAAATTCCCCTGAAAATAAGACCATCATTGCTGCTTGATGCTGCAGCACACGTATTGTTTACATTGTGACCGGTCTAACTAGGGAGTACCAATATGGCGGCCTGTGTCTTCACTTCAACCCCCTACTACCAACAAGCGATCAGCAATCCAGTGAATAAATAGAGATCAGTGAGTGTGACCCGCCCAGCTATTAACATGAAGATTCATGTCAGTCCCATCAATACTGGCAGGAGGACAGACACATCCTCCTGTCTCTCACCAGCTGTAGTTTCTGCCACAATGTGTTTGATGGGCGCTGCTTCTCATTTAGATCCGTCAAACTGTGTCTGACCACTGAGGTCTGTGAGACATGCAGCCAATCAGAAGGGATCTGTAATCATCTTGCAGGTCAGCTCAGTCTGGGAAGAAAAGACGGCGCTCATCTTTAAATATTGACTCCAAGAAGCCTCTAAATCTCCGGATCCGGATCCTGGAGGACTCTGAGACCGAGGTGCTCTCAAATAACGGTAAGTTATATAAACTTCCTCTCATCAGTCCAGCTCTGGTCCATCTGTTCCAGGTTCTCACACAGGAATGTTGATGCTCTGTTCCAGTGTTTAAGAAGTGTCCGATCTGGGACCTGCAGTGCCCTCATGGTCTGGAGGAGGCGGCCTTTCTGGACCTGCTCAGGTCCACTTTCCCTCAGCTCTCTGCAGGGAAACCTTTTGATACCTTAATAACAGATAGAGGAAGGAAGCTGCAGCCTCTGAGAGTAAAGACTCTGACTCCAGAGGAGATCTACAGAGCCATCAAATCCATCGGGAACTCAGCTCTCTACATCCGCCTCAAGGTTCTTAGTCTCAGTTGTTTCTTTGATGTAAAGCCTCTTTAATAAAACATTAAAGCTGATCTGAGACATCCTGTTGTCTCTTCCATGTGTGATTTAAAGTATAGGATGTCCGCTTGTTTGAGGCCCGTTGAGTTTAATCTTTGTATTTGACACCAACAGCTAAAACCAGAGATGATGTGATTCTTTTAAAGCTTTCCCATTGGTTTTACCTTTTGTTAGGATCCAGATCTGTCATATGAGTGAAAGGGTTTAACTTAAAGATTGATTTTATGTTTTATTCTGTGTCAATGACGATGGGGCTTTCTGTTCCAGGAGAAAGAGGTAATAACGCCTGAAGAGGAAGAGCATCTGGTCTCTGACTCTCTACCTGCTGACCCTGTGATGGTGGAGAAAGATCAACCTGTGGCCCAGAAGAGGTGAATTAAGAACAGAAGAAGAGAGAAATCATCATCATAATAATAATAATTCAGCTTTATTGTCTCCTATTGGAGAAATACACCTCTGCATTTAACCCTTCCCCTTGGGGAGCAGTGGGCTGTCATTGTGCGGCACCTGGGGAGCAGTGTGGGGTTAACGGTCTTGCTCAGGGACCCAGAGTGGCATGCTGAGGGGATCGAACCGAATACTTGCAACCTCAGTAGCATAAGCGCAATACTCCAACCACTAGGCCAACATTCCCCCTTATGATTGATTTATGGAAACATTTCAGATGTAATTTAAGATAAAAAAAAACTTTATTATTCTGTCATTGGGAAATTTGTTTTATGCAAATATTGGACAGTAAGAGAAAAAAAAAAGACTTAGATGCAAATATAATACAGAAGATATAAATATATATGCAAATATGTGTATATACATAGAACACTACACTGGAAAAAATTATAACCCACTCAAATTACGCATAAAAAAATGTTGTCCAGATATCACATCTAAACTATTTGACTTTACAAAATCTGAATTTAAAGTCGTAGGGAAGTCATATTCAAATGTCAAATCATTTTGGCTTAAACATGTATATTAATTTACTCTTTATCAGACCATATTGTACCAAAATGTTTAACAAAAATTTTTTTGTTATCTTATGCAGGCCAGTTAGTTATACCTCAGCTTGTTCACCTAAATTCGGCCAATCATATATCAACGGTCATCTGTCAATCAAATTTTTTCGGTCATAGCATCTTGATTCATGTGTCGCAGCTAATATACGCAACGGTTGAAATCAGAATCCTTTCCTTTCCCATTGAGTTCCGTCCCAGTGTTCACGGGGATGGACGTCTGTGACTTCAGCAGGCGTAGAGCTAACAGAACTGCCAGCGTTGCGAGGCAAGGGCTCAAACATGTACGGCTGGAAGCCTTCTACACCAAACCAAGCTTCTGCTGCCCTGGCGTCCTCTTCCACAACAACTTCGTCCCCCTTTCCTCCTCTAAATAAAAAATGGATGACGGAGGAGACTCATCCACGACCTCCGACACTAAACTCTCCTCCTCTTGCATGTTTCCTCTGTCCATAGCGTTCCTTGACAGTGTTGTTTCTAAGTCACCAATTTAGTGCTACTTGGTCCCATTGGGAACCTACTAGCACTAAGTTGCTAACTGGTTAGCAAGATGCTTCCGACAAATCGGCCACAACCAAACTTGCTTGTGAACCTTCCGCCACAACAATCCCGCCCCCTTGATAACTGAGCAATCACATTCACTTTATTCACTCGTGTAAAGTCGGGCACCACTCGGGAGAATTCCAAAATGCAATGGTTGGAACAGCCGCTTCCCTAAGACTTTAAATCTTTGCCCTGTTCCAAATGATTTCCTGAACATTTCAGTTAATATAGCAAACTAATATATTTAAAATGAACCAACCTAATATACTTACTTTTAACTAAATGAACATGAATTAAGGTTTGTATTGACACCAGTTCATTAATTTAAATATAACCAAATTGGCAAGAGGTTGCAGTTAGCATCGTCGCTAACACGCTTGCCACAGTGACGGCCGGGTATCCAGCATTTAACTCAAACAAAACTCCACACTGTACCTTAAAGCAATGTTTGTTTAGCTCTGGATTTAGCCCAGATGAACGTGCAAGGACTTTTGGCTAGCTAACGTTAGCGATTCATTGCCATAACGTTATCGGTACATGCGTAAACCCTCAGACATCAGCTAGCTAATATTAACTAGTTAACTAGCCAGCTATAACCTTGATTCTATGCAACTGCTTTGCTACTTGTGTTTATTTATGGGCGAAATCCACCCAGAATGTTGGGACGACAAAAATGGCGCTCTCTCAAGGTCTGGGACTTGGACTTGATCATGTGACAGCAGTGTGCAAAGCGCAGTTCACATGTGACTCAAACAAAGAAAATATATCATCAGGTCATGAATAAATATATACATATTAAAAGAATTTAAAAACTTTGTTTCGGCTCCTTTTATACTTGTGTTTAGTTCAGATTAAATCAAACTCTATGTCTCAAAATCCAAAAAAAATTAGTTACACGATCAAATCAATAATTTTATCCAGTTTACAGTGAAAGTCATTAGTTTGAATGAACAGCTTCATGTTGCAGTTCCCTGAAATCCTGAAAAAGTCAATACTTATTGATTAGTTATCACTTCAAATAACAAGGTCATTGTGAACATTATTATTGGTTTTATTGTAATGGATGACACAGATTGCTTTATCCCGATAGAGGAAGCAAACAAAGCAATGTTAATGCAGCTGGGACCCTCAGAGTAGATGAATGTCGTTCATGCAGTGTTAGCAGTCACTATATATTTTGGAACACATAAGAAAATGTAAATTCAACAAAAATTGTCTGTCTAACCAAGATTTCTCTCAATCCTAGAAGCTATTATCAGGGAATGTTTATGTGACACTGTGGACTTGGTGCAAAAAATGTTTCAAACTCTGCATGACGGGATTACGGCCTTGAGAAGGGTGAAACTCAACAACCAGCAGATGTTTCTAAACAGCAGCTGCACCACATTCCCAGACAATGTTTGGCAATGTTTCTGGAAAAAACTGATAGAATACCAATTATACACGGTGAATGAGATATCTTCCATGCAATGTTTCCAGACTCTGTTCCCCACTCATTTGCTTTTCTTTTCAAACCGACTCCCCCACCTCAACTTGGAGGCAGATTTGACTCATGCATTTTGGAGCAACTTGTTCCGAATGCTGACAGTGGCATGCTAGTTTTGATACACTACCATTCAAAAGTTCGGGGTCACCCAAACAATTTTGTGTTTTCCTGAAAAGTCACACTTATTCACCACCATACGTTGTGAAATGAATAGAAAATTGAGTCAAGACGTTGACAAGGTTAGAAATAATTATTTTTTTACATTAAACTTTGCTTTTGTCAAAGAATCCTCCATTTGCAGCAATTTCATTTGCTCTGCGTCTCACAAACGTTCTTCTTTGTGATCAAAACACCTCAAACTTGGATTCATCCGTCCACAGCACTTTGTTCCAGTCTTCCTCTGTCCAACGTCTGTGTTCTTTTGACCATCTTAATCTTTTTCTTTTATTGGCCAGTCTCAGATGTGGCTTTTTCTTTGCCACTCTGCCCTGAAGCCCAGAATCACGCAGCCGCCTCTTCACTGTAGATGTCGACACTGGTGTTTTGTGGGTACTGTTAATGAAGATGCCAGTTGGGGACCTGTGAGGCGTCTGTTTCTCAAACTAGAGACTCTAATGTACTTATCTTTTTGCTCGGTTGTGCAACGCGGCCTCCCACTTCTTTTTCTACTCTGGTTAGAGCCTGTTTGAGCTGTCCTCTGAAGACAGTAGTACACACCGTTGTAGGAAATCTTCAATTTCTTAGCAATTTCTCGCATGGAATAGCCTTCATTTCTAAGAACAAGAATAGACTGTTGAGTTTCAGATGAAAGTTTTCTTTTTCTGGCCATTTTTAGCGTTTAATTGACCCCACAAATGTGATGCTGCAGAAACTCAATCTGCTCAAAGGAAGGTCAGTTTTGTTGCTTCTGTAACGAGCTTAACTGTTTTCAGATGTGTGAACATGATTGCACAAGGGTTTTCTAATCATCAATTAGCCTTCTGAGCCAACGAGCAAACACATTGTACCATTAGAACACTGGAGTGATAGTTGCTGGAAATTGGCCTCTATACACCTATGTAGATATTGCACCAAAAACCAGACATTTGCAGCTAGAATAGTCATTTACCACGTTAGCAATGTATAGAGTGTAGGGATGGGAATCGAAAACCGGTTCCTGTTAAGAACCGGTTCTGTATTTTCCGATTCCATGGCATCGTTTGGCAGCTCGCTGAACGATTCTTTTTTCGATTCCCGCAGCACCAGAGCCTAGAGCGCCGGCTCTGGGGAGCACGACTTACGTCACGTTTTTTACGTAAGTTACGCAAGTTACGCAAGTTGGAAGAACTATTCGAGGAGGAAGACAACGAGCTGCGGTCACTTTGTGAATCTTTCCTTAGCCCAGAGGGTAGATCAGGAAATCCAGCTCTGTAAAAGCTTGCCCTCCATCCCCTGCAGGGATAGCGCCACACTGTGGTGGTGGAACAAGCAAGATACGCTGCCCTTGCTATCTGGACTGGCTGAAAACTACCTCTGTGTGCAGGCTTCCTCCACCCCATCTGAGAGGGTGTTCTCCACGGCTGGAGACACCTTAAGCGCTGAAAGATCCCGTATCCTTCCAGAAAAAGCAGATATGCTCATCTTTCTGCAAAAGAACTGTTAATTTTCCCTCACTGCAAAAACGATCTGAAATTAAGTAAAAATATCTTAAATCAAGTGTATTTACCCTTAATTTGAGCAGGTAAATAAGATAGTTTGCCAATGGAATGAGTATTTTTACATTTAAAATAAGATAATTAGATAATATGCATTTGAAATAAGACAATGCAATAGTTTTTTTCTTATTTCAAATGTAAATTGTCTTGTTCCATTGGCAAAATGTCTCACTTACTTACTCAATTCAAGAAAAAATGAACTTATTTTAAGAACAAATGACTTATTTAGATTTACATTTTTTGCAGTGCTACTACTGTTTTATAATTAGTATTTTTGTTATTTAAAATAGGTTATTATCCCATCATTTGTTATTAGACATTGTTGGTTATTAAGTTTGTTCTTGTATTCATTTTTCATTTAAACACAGATGTTACTCCAGTTTCACATTTCCTGTGGACATCTTGATCTTGTTGAGTTTGTATGATTGTGCAATAGTTAAGTAAACAAAGTTGATTCTGATAATCAAACTGTTTGTTCTCCTTTTCCCCCCAAATTGGAATCGAAAAAAGAATCGATAAAGAATCGAATCGTTTCATAGAATCGAAAAGGGAATCGGAATCGTGAAAATCTTTTCAATTCCCAACCCTAATAGAGTGTATTTCTTTAAAGTTAAGACTAGTTTAAAGTTATCTTCATTGAAAAGTACAGTGCTTTTCCTTCAAAAATAAGGACATTTCAATGTGACCCCAAACTTTTGAACGGTAGTGTATTTGATCACCTTGGAGCAAATTTTAGTAGCAAGACAGTAGCAAGACAATGCAAAGGGCTGTACATGAAAAACAACAATAAAAGAAAGTAGGAAAAATACATTGCAGTAACATGGTAGGAGAGAAATGCTAACCTTCCTTTCCTTGCCATTTAACTTCTCTAAATTGATGGATGTTTTTCTACTCTTCTGCCTTGATGTGCCGCTGATCACAAACAATTCAGTTTATTTCATATAAGAAGGTGAGGAAGAGAAGGTGTGTCCAAACTTTTGGTCTGTACTGTATATATTTATATATATGTTTATATATATCTGGCAGAGCAGACTGCTACTCTGAAATCTATGCAGCTACACTCGTATTTGTCATCTGAACTCCCTCCCTAAGGTCTCCGTCAACTGCTTTACATTTAGGCCAGTAAGCTGAGTTTTGATAAGTGTAACAGCCGTGGATACAGTCATATTAAACACATTTACCTCCTTATTTGCGTGGGCACAGCGCAGTGAAAACGTCAACCGCACCCACTTCAGATTCTGTCATCAACTCACCTCGAGTACTTGCAAAGGACTCAGGGTGATTCTTTAAGACCTGTTAAAACGGTTGCTATGAACAACACTGTTTTGTCCCTCTTATGCAGCATTGGTCAAAGTGCACCAGGAGGCAAGGGGAACATTTTCTCAAGCGCAACATCCCAACAACAGGACTTCCAAACAGAGGAGGAAGGAGCTGAGAGCAGCGTGGACTTCAGCGGAGATGAAGATAGGGGTTCAGAAGGCAACGAGGACTCAGACCCAGATTATAAACCGCACAAGCAAACAAGAAAAGAGAAAGCCAGCTGTGACAAGAGGTGAGTGATTCTGTAAGATCCAGCACTGTGCCCTCATATGCAGATATGTTATTGAATATTTATCCTGATATCTTTCAGTCTGCCATATTTTGTCTTTTGACAAATATTTAAATTCCCCACACTTTTTGTCAGTGGTACATAGAAGGGCAATGGATGGTAGCAAGTATGATGAGCTAGTTCAGCTTCTAGCATTATATCTTCTCTATCAGGCACCCAGTGCGCAATGTTCACAGTGAAGCAGTGCACAGTGGCTGTGACGCTGCACGTCCTCATGCCTGCCTACTCACAGCAATTCAGGGTTTTAGCTGATATGCTGATGATGCCATGAAGGAAAAAAAAATATTGAGGTATGTCTGTTCTTAGCCTCACAGGCTCTAAACGAAGGTCATGAGCAATAAGAATGAGTTACACAGCCTCCTTCATGGCACGAAGGGTAGGACTGCTGTTTTGAGAAGATCCATCAGGCCAGTGAAAGATATATTAACCTAACAGGTAATGGCTTTGATGAACTCAAGTTGTTTTTCCTCCAAATGTTCGCGTGTGAGAAAGTTCTTTATGTAAGAGTGGGATAGTTCCAAGGGAGAGTGTGTGTATTGGGAGTTGTTGTATAAATGTTTGCAGTCAGAGCTGTATCTCTCCGTCGGAGGACGTTAAATGCATTTCAACATTTTCTTGCAAGTCTCAGTTTCTCCTCAACTTCACAATGCCATGTGGTCGTTAATTGTGTAGAAAGAAGATCTTACTTTACTTGGAATAAAAGCTTGAAGAACATTGTTTATTGCCAGCAAGTAGGAAATTCTGTGTAATACAGTCCTGGTAGCAGGCTGCGCGAAAATTTTTGTTTTTGTTTTGGTAAAATGGGTTTTTCATATGGAGAACCCATGATGGTTCCCTTGTGTCCTACAAATGGGTAGTTTCACCTACAGTCTGAGAACTTAGGACCTTTTCCAGTCTGTGGTCCTGTGAGCCGTCCATAATTCATCTTCCATCTCATAATCATTATCTTGTAACACCAGTCCATCATCGTCTTCATTCACAAATGTGAAATGTCTCCTTATCGGTGGTGGGATAAACAAATATACGGAATGTTGCACATTTGTTAGGGCTTCAGGATTCTAAGAACTATTATTGCTTTTCCTTGAAATATCTCTCTCTATACCCTTTGTGTGTTTTCTGGGATCTGCAGTTGCTTTCCCAGTTTGGAGTTGAGGCTCATCATTCATCAGTTACCAATAGCAATAATTATAATGCACGAATAGAATTATCAAGATGATTGCCTGTGCACTGTGGACAGATATTAGATAGTGAATAATCGTTGACCTGTATAGTGCACTCTGTGGAGGATTTTGTATTGTATTAGTTGTAAATTGGGGTTTCTAGTCATGTTAAAAGTTCTTAGACATATCTGAGCCAAAATGTTTTGTTCAAAGCTGAGTGATAAATCCTCCTCCCATTTCATAATAGCAAGAGATATTGTATCATCCAGTTTAGTCAGTGTCCTGTATAATATACACAGTAGTTTGGGGGGGTTAACTCTATGAACTGATATATTAGTTTGAATTTGTAAACCTCCTTCAATATGCTTAAAATTGTTTCTAATTATAGATTAAATTTGTTTATATTGTAAGAATTTATTTTTGTTAATCCCATATTGACTATTTTTCTAGCAAATGTGATAAACTCCGTACCTTCAAATAAATTATCCAGATAGTTAATACCTTTATTCTTCCAGTATGGAAAGTTTATAATATTCTTATTTTGTAGAATGTCAGGGTTATTCCAGATGGGTGTACAACTGCACGGGATAAGTGATGACTTTGTTATTTTAAGAAACTCCCACTGTCAGAGAAGAGCTGATGGTAATATTTTGAAAGCATGAATGCTGTTTTATATTACAGCTAATAAACGGTAAATGTGAAATTATGATAGACCACCTATTATAAGTGCCGTTCATCGGGTTGAGTCTTGGTGTGTTTTTTTTTTTTTCTGAACGGAATGGATATTTCTCCTGCTCTCGGTCAAGGTTTGTTTTAGTTAGAGTGCCCAAAACAGGAGAGAATCACCCAGACAACAGAGGTAAGGCGAAAGTGTTCCTCTGCTAAAGACCGGGGCATTAGGAAATCAGTGTAACAACAGCAACTGACAGAGCTCCATAACTGGAGGCCAGACATGCCACCCTCTAGAGCTAAGGAACCAGAGCTGCATTTTGGAGGATCACACTGAGCAAAAGAAGTTCGGATAACTCGTCGTGGGAAATTGCACTAGAGCGGGGAGAGGCTTCAACTGTCTGAGGGTAGCTAGGCTACCTGCGGAGGATCCAAGGCACCAGTGAAAGATTGGCAAAGTTTGACGGGGAATAAGAAAGCTGGGGGTGGGGGAGAAGCTACTGCTTCCTGGGAGTAGGACAGTAGTGCTTTGGAGAAGCCAGCCAGGGAGAACGAGCAGCGAGAAGTTCATACAATAAAAGCCAATTTATACTTTTGACGCATAGCGCCTGCAACCGGCAAATCTGACTCTGTGCATGACCACGCCCCCCACACAGAGGCTCTGCAACCGTCGTTGCGCACCTCAAAAAAATCCTGACTACACGTCGGAAGCTCGCAAACCTGCGCAGACCTTAAGCAGAAGTGCGCAAACGAAAATGCAGCTGTGATTGGTCCTTGCTATGCCTTTCTAAATGACTGTGTGGTCGTCCTTCTCGATTCAGTGCTGGGTTGTGCCATTTTAAAAAACCGAGGAGTAATAACAATGGATAACCACGACAAAAGGTTAGACGTTGTTTTGGAAAATAAACACTCTTGCCAATGCCGCCGAAGAAGTTCTCGTGACATTTTAGGAAAATAAACACACTCGCCATTGCCGCCGAACAAGTTCTCGTGACCATCCGTCGAAGTTCTCGCGAGTTCTCGAATAGGCTCCCTCTAGCGCTTTGGCGGGAAACTGCTGTGCATCCCTAGAAATTCCAGACCGATGTTGCAGAAGCATACCAGCAAAACTGCTTCACAAGCAGACGCAAGCGACATCTGATGTGATCGGTTGCAGACGTGTAATCCAACCTTAAAGGAATAGTACACCCAAAACATGATTAGCCTTCATTTTCTACTCACCCCCATGCTGAACAACACTCTGGAGTACTTTTTTGATATCTCAAATGCATCTGGAGATCTGGGAGGCTTCTTGCTGTCTGCTGACATTCAAATAATGGAGGTCTATGGTGCCCGAGGCAGAAAGGTCCATAAAAGTCCACAAAAAACGTGTCAATATTCCTCCATACTGCTCGTCCAATGTATTCCAGGTGTCCTGAGTGGGTAGCGTCCATAATTTACTCGAAACGAAGTCATTTAGAATGTTTTTAGAGCATAAACAGTAGTGTATAGGATTTCCTGAAAGCGCGTTCACGAGCCTACGGAAACCGCGGCAGACCAAACCAGACGAAAGTGCGCATTCAGCGTCTGCTCTGCCGATAATGCAAGCGTAGAAGAAGAAATTTGCTGTTTACCCGTGCAAAGAAAGAAACAACGAAAGAAAAATGTCTGAGGACTTCAGTGTTGAGGAAGAGCATGAGTTCTTTGCCGAGCTGAATGCACACTTTCGTCTGGTTTGGTCTGCCGCGGTTTCCGTAGACTCCCAGATCTCCAGATGCATTTGAGATATCAAAAAAGTACTCCAGAGTGTTGTTCAGCATGGGGGTGAGTAGAAAATGAAGGCTAATCATGTTTTGGGTGTACTATTCCTTTAAGAATCCACCAATTTGCATTCATATCAGTTTATTGGTGTACTGCAAAAGGATTGCATTGAAATTGTTTTGGTTTTTTTTTCAGTGGTATTCAAACTGTGGAACGTACCAAAGGGGAATCTGAGGACAACACAGAATGCAGAAGTGACAACGATCCGGCTTTGGAAAAAGATGACAACTTGAACCTGGATCCTGACCTGCAGACATCTTTAAAAATAAGAAACAAAGGATGTTGGAAGAGGAGTGATGGAGTAGAAAAGTCGTGCAAAGTTTGTGGGGTCACCTACAGACAGTTAGGAGGGTTGTTCAAACATATCTGGAGCCATTCCTCTAACCCTCAGAATGTTTGTGGAGCCTGCGGAGAGAAGTTTGAGTCTGAGGAAAAGTTGAAAGAGCATTTCCAAAGTTACAAAAAGCCTTACAACTGTCCACATTGTGGGAAGTCTTTTTTCTCCAAAGATGGCCTGAAGCAACACATAACAAAGCACACAGGCGATAACTTGTTTAAATGTAATGTTTGTAATAAAACCTTTTCACAGAAAGGTTTGCTAAACCAGCACCAATGGGTACATGTAGAAAATAAACCCCACAAGTGTGACCTGTGTCCACAGTCCTTTGGTCTGGAGTCGCATCTCCGAGCTCACAGGAAACGGCATGCGAGCAAAGATGTTTACAAATGCAAGATATGCAGTAAGTCATTGGGCGACCGCCGATCTCTGGCCCAGCACACGTTGACCCACTCAGACGAGCGACCCTACTGTTGCCAAACGTGCGGGAAACGCTTTAAATCTAATGTTGGACTAAAAGTACACAAGATGACCCACACAGTGAGAGATCGGCCTTTCCTCTGCCATGTGTGCTGCAAGACATTTCCAACCAAGCAAACCCTTAAGTGCCACATCAGGACTCATAGCAGCGAGAAGCTGTTTGTCTGTACAGTGTGCGGTAAAGGCTTCACGTTTAGTGGAAATCTCAAAATACACATGAGGGTCCACACAGGAGAGACGCCCTACAAATGCAACGAGTGCGGACGCCGCTTTAAATCCAAGACTCACCTTACCCAGCACATGAAGACCCATTCAGGCATTAAAGATTTCATCTGTGGTATTTGTGGCAAAGGTTCATCTAAACCGGAACATCTAAAAATTCACATGAGAACCCACACTGGAGAGAGACCCTACAAGTGCTCTCTTTGTGACAAAGACTTCACCCAGAGCCACTGCCTGAAAACACACATGAAGACTCACCAGACTGAAGAGTCGCCCTCGCTCCCTCCTGGTTCTGAAGATGGTTCAAAAAGTCTGAAATGAAGGACGGACCTTATTTTGATTTACATTCCTACTTTAGTTCAGTGTTTGTATTCCATCTTTTTGAAATTCTGAGTTAAATTTGGATGTTGTAGAAGCAAAAAGGAATAAACTCCTTAACCAAAAGGTCTGATGAAGTAATTTATTACTGTTGTGTCTCATTCTGTAGCGCTCCTGAGTTGCAGCACGGATGTTGTTGGTTCACATTCACATCTAGGGCCTTTCTTCATTCAGATTAAATGTTCTTCCAGTGCATCCACATCTTTTGTTACTCTGGCTTCCTCCTACAAATAAAAAACCAATGACTGTTAGGTTGATTGGTCTCTATACACTAAATTGCCAAACATACACTATATTGCCAAAAGTATTTGCTCACCTGCCTTGACTCACATATGAGCTTAAGTGACATCCCGTTCCTAATCCATAGGGTTCAATATGACGTCGGTCCACCCTTTGCAGCTAGAACAGCTTCAACTCTTCTGGGAAGGCTGTCCACAAGGTTTAGGAGTGTGTTTATGGGAATTTTTGACCATTCTTCCAGAAGCGCATTTGTGAGGTCGCACACTGATGTTGGACGAGAAGGCCTGGCTCTCAGTCTCCGCTCTAATTCATCCCAAAGGTGTTCTATCGGGTTGAGGTCAGGACTCTGTGCAGGCCAGTCAAGTTCATCCACACCAGACTCTGTCATCCATGTCTTTATGGACCTTGCTTTGTGCACTGGTGCACAGTCATGTTGGAAGAGGAAGGGGCCAGCTCCAAACTGTTCCCACAAAGTTGGGAGCATGGAATTGTCCAAAATGTCTTGGTATGCTGAAGCATTCAGAGTTCCTTTCACTGGAACTAAGGGGCCAAGCCCAGCTCCTGAAAAACAACCCCACACCATAATCCCCCCTCCACCAAACTTTACACTTGGCACAATGCAGTCAGACAAGTACCGTTCTCCTGGCAACCGCCAAACCCAGACCCGTCCATCAGATTGCCAGATGGAGAAGCGCGATTCGTCACTCCAGAGAACGCGTCTCCACTGCTCTAGAGTCCAGTGGCGGCGTGCTTTACACCACCGCATCCGACGCTTAGCATTGCACTTGGTGATGTATGGCTTGGATGCAGCTGCTCGACCATGGAAACCCATTCCATGAAGCTCTCTGCGCACTGTTCTTGAGCTAATCTGAAGGCCACATGAAGTTTGGAGGTCTGTAGTGATTGACTCTGCAGAAAGTTGGCGACCTCTTCGCACTATGCGCGTCAGCATCCGCTGACCCCGCTCCGTCAGTTTACGTGGCCTACCACTTCGTGGCTGAGTTGCTGTCGTTCCCAAACACTTCCATTTTCTTATAATACAGCTGACAGTTGACTGTGGAATATTTAGGAGCGAGGAAATTTCACGACTGGATTTGTTGCACAGGTGGCATCCTATCACAGTTCCACGCTGGAATTCACTGAGCTCCTGAGAGCGACCCATTCTTTCACAAATGTTTGTAAAAACAGTCTGCATGCCTAGGTGCTTGAATTTATACACCTGTGGCCATGGAAGTGATTGGAACACCTGATTCCAATAATTTGGATGGGTGAGCAAATACTTTTGGCAATATAGTGTATTTGCACACCCATCCAAATAATGGGAATGTGTATAAAGGTGTATAAAATCAAGCACCTCGACTGTTTTTACAAACATATGTGAAAAAGAAATTGGTTCTTCTCAGAATCACAATTAATTTTAAGGTGGAACTGTTATAAGATCCCACCTGTTCAACGAACCCAGTTGTGAAATTTCCACGCTCCTAAACATTCCACAGACAACTGTCAGTTGAACCATCAGAAAATGGAGGTGTTTGGGAACGACAGCCACTCGGCCACGTAGTGGTAGGCCACGCAAACTGATGGAGCGGGGTCACTTGATTCTGAAGCTCATAGTGCAAAGAGGTTATTAGCTTTATGCTGTTAGTTTCTTCATACCTCTAAACTTCATGTGGCCTTACGATTAGCTCAAGAAAAGTTCGCAGGGTTCCATGGTCCAAGCAGTGGTGTAAAGCACGCCGCCACGGACTCCAGAACAGTGGAGAAATGTTCTCTGGAGTGATGAATCGTCCCTCTCCATCTGGAAATCTGATCAGACGGTCGATGGGAGACAATTTGGACATTCCATGCTTCCAACTTTGTGGGAACAGTTTATGGTCTGAACAGATTATGACTGAACTACCTGGATCTGCTCCCAGATCTACAGAGCCATGACGAGGTGGGTGTTGGTGAGGGTTAGGAGCTCTCACAGAACACAGGTAGGACTCACCTGGAAACCCAGTCTGAACATGCAGGATATAGAGATCAGAAACAGATTGTGTTGTGTTTCAGGTGTGGAATTATCAGAGTCCCAGTGTGCCTGGGAGCTGGTATGAGGAACGGTAAGAAGATCCAGCACTAATCTCTGAACTGATCCAAGAAGACATTAAGGACCCATCAAGTTAACAAATCATAAGTACATTGATTGTCTATGTAATCCAGCATATATGAAAAATATACAAAAATACCTTTAAATAAAAGACTGATTGAAGTAAAAAGTAGGTTACTGGCGATATTGATGAAATCATAGAGATGTTATTGTTTTCAATGTTCGTAAAAAGCTAAAACCAAAAAAAAATGTGGGTTTCTATTACTCATACACATCATCTTCCCCTTAATCTGAGACACCAGGTCCAGCAGAGACTCCCAGACTTCCCTAATCCCAGACACCTCCTCCAGCTCTGCTGGGGGGAGTCCAAATCACTCCCAGGCAAGCTCAGAGACCTAGTCTCTCCACGGTGTTTTATGTCGTCTTCTGGGCCTCCTTCTGGTAGGACGTGCTTGGAAAACCTTCAGAGGGAGCCGTCTAGGGGACATTCGACAAAAATGTCCAAGCCATCTCAACTGACTTCTCTCGATGTGGAGGACAAGCAGATAACTGGACATTGCCTAAATAGATATATCATAAATTTTGGATTTGATATTGGATATGGCACATCCAATCCAGTGCACTTTACAGAGAACTGTTATTTGTTTCCTGTTATGCTACGTTCACACTGGAAGCAGCAGAAGCAGCTAGTTTACATGCAAAGTCAATGGTTGATGTGCATGTTGGTGCAGCAAAAAGTTCCACATCGCTTTTGAGAAACATGAGCAGCTGAAGCGGCGCAGCATGAGTTTCTGAGCATCTAAAGCACGGGACGCTTATCAGAAGCAGCAGCTGCTGGAGTTGGAAAAATTTAACTTTTGGTGCTCTACACGCTGCATCAACCAATCAGAGAAGCTAATCTGGAGCTGGCAGGGAGACAGACACAGCACTGCTGATGCTGAGCACTATGATCACTCCTCTGAAACAGGTTATTAACACCTAAATTAACTTAAAATGTTCAATTTTATTATTCTGCTGCCTGCAGTTTGGATTACCTACATTAAAAATGCTAACATCTAATTCCAGCCGCCGCGAACAGTAGGGGAAAACCTCAAAGAGCCAGAGGCTGCTGTTGAAGGGGATTCCCAGGGACAGGGTTGGGTTAGCTAGTGTTCGGGGCTCCAACGGCGAAATAATTTTTGAATGCAGGATCATAATCTGGGTGAACTGACTAGACAGATGAAGTTTTCAGGTGGACTTTCTTACTTAAAAACATTAAAACTACTTTTTTACCCACTGATCACAGCAAATATAGCTGCCATTGTTACAGGCAAAGAAAGAAAAGAGTAGCTCTAAATTAAACTTTACAAGCATCAAAAATGAAGCAGCATGCAAGCTTTTGCTGCTCCTGCTGCTCGCAGTGTGAACTTAGCTTTAATAATAAAAATAAAGTTAATTTTGATCAGTGTTAATTTGGTGACTTTTTAAAAATAAGGTTTATGCCAAGGCTAAAGTCTTTACTCACGAGGTATACGATTCATTCATTCAACAGATCGGATCGATATAAGCCGATACTGGGGGGTTAAAGGAGAGGACGACTCAGACCTTAATCAGAAACCACACTGACAAACTAAAAAAGAACACAAAGAGGTGGGTTGACTGGGATGAACTGAATTTAGTGATGAACACAGAATAAAAAGGGTAGAAAAGCATTTACCAATAAAATAATGCAGTCAGAGTGCAGCAGGGAGTTCATATTTGAGAAGCAAAAATAATCATTAGAATTAATTGGCTTCAAAACTAATTTACATAAGTGCGTACAAACTAATTTACAATGTAAATCAAAGCGTGTATATTTATGTGTAGAGAGAGAAAAACTCAAATATGGTTTAATCTCCACACTGGAAAAACCATCTAGAAATTAGTAAAACATTTATTAAATTATGTTTATTTACCCTTAATTTGACTAGGTAAATGAGATAGTTTGCCAATGGAATGAGTATTTTTTGCTCTTAAAATAAGATAATTAGATAACATGTACTTGAAATAAGACAATGCAATTGTGTTTTCTTATTTTAAGCGTAAATCGTCTTGTTCTATTGGCAAAATGTCTCTTTTATCTCCTCAATCCAAGAACAAATGCTCTGATTTTAAGAAAAAAAATGTCTTGTCTAGATTTTAATTTTTTCCAGTGCATGAACCCAGGGTTGGTCCCTTTAGGTGTTGCAAACCTTTGCATTCATCCAGAATATGCTGGAAGATGAGATGTTGCCCAACGATCTGATGGATATCATGGATATAATGGATAGACGGAGCCTAAAGTTACTGAAAATGTCCAACTTTTTAGGCAAAAAAGGCAGCTTAACGCTGTTGTTGACGTCTATAAGCTGTGATTTAGTTTGAGCATTTGCAGTAAAATGTTTCTGACATCAGTGGTGGCAGATCCACAGGGAGACTCACCCCTGACACAAAGGGTGACCCCCACTCACCCCCCAAGGGAGGGGGAGGGGGGATAAAGAGGTCAGACTGCTCCAAGATAAACAATGAATGTATAAGGAAAGATGTAGATGGAGACGGTTCCTTCCTTCCTTCCTTCCTTCCTTCCTTCCTTCCTTCCTTCCTTCCTTCCTTCCTTCCTTCCTTCCTTCCTTCCTTCCTTCCTTCCTTCCTTCCTTCCTTCCTTCCTTCCTTCCTTCTTGAGGAGGTTTTATCTTTAAACTCTAACTTCTCTCTGTGGATTCTTAAGATTCTCCTCAGATGAAATCTTCACTTGCTTTTGCTTAATTTTTATTCAAAATATTTTTTTATTTTTGGACTAAGAGAAGCTTGCAATATAAACAAGGAAACTTTTTGAAACTAAATCAGGTTTTTCCCTCCCTTTCTAATCTGTCTGCTGGGGATGATGACATCCTCGGATGATGACATCTGAGGGGACAGATAAAGTGAATAATATCAGCCTCTTTAGTTGAATCAGTTTATACATTAGCATATAGCTACTAGAGCCATGAGACCTACAATGGAAACAATCCTAATCTAGATAACTAATTTTCTTAAAATGAGTGCATTTGTTCTTGGATTGAGGAGGTAAAAGAGACCTTTTGCCAATAGAACAAGAAAATTTACACTTAAAACAAGAAGACACCACTGCAAAAAGAATCTAGAAATGAGTATAAATGTCTTAAATAAAGTGTATTTAGCATTAGTGTATTTTTACTCTTAAAATAAGATGATTAGATAAAATTCACTTGAAATAAGACAATTAACTTGTTTTTTCTTATTTTAAATGTAAATGGTCTTGTTCCATTGGCAAAGTGTCTCTCTTACCTCCTCAATTCAAGAACAAATGCACTTATTTTAAGAAAATTTACTTATATAAATTTAGATTTTTTCCTGTGTACTGCTTTGTTTCAAGTGCATGTTATCTAATTATTTTATTTGAAGTGTAAAAATACTCATTCCATTGCAAACTATCTTATTTACCTACTCAAATACACTTAATTTAAGACATTTTTAGTTATTTCTAGATTGTTTTTCCAGTTTATTGGGTGAATTTGAAACATTAACACACCAGCTGTGGTGCAGAAGGATGCAGAGGTGGAAAGCTGAGTGGATCAAAGCTCCCTGGAGTTAATAGGAGGTCAGATCTTAGAAAGCGGAGGTTTGATCCAAGCAGGCGATAATCGTTCTAAAGGATTTTCCAGATTTGGGTTGTTTCCTTAAACGTTTTATTTTGGAGGTGATATTAAACCAGTTCCGCTGCAAACATGGAAGTAGTCGGTTTCCCTGCAGCAGTTTTCTAATCAGGCTTATAGTATTTATTAAATTATATTATTGTCTAAAATATGAAAGATCTTTACAGCGGGACTCATTGATTAATGATATTAGCAGTTTTCTTTCAGTTTGCACATTTAGTTTTACTCTTTAACTGTTATTTCCAAAGTGTTTTTATAAAATACATTCATGTAAAATATACATGTCAGCCACTAAATTTGCTCTGAAGCGAACCTGGAAAGCCTTTTAGTCAGAATCTAGCCCTGTTACGCCGTGGTTAGATACTTAGTTCATCAGTGTAACGTGACCCGATAGTTGTTGGCCTGCAGCGGCTCAGCGTCAGACGAGCTGAGAAGCTGAAGAACCAGAGGGAAGATACTGGCAGGCTGCTGATGGCTTTATAACATCATGGGCAGCAGATGATCCATCACATCTCCAAACAGACTGCTGGCTGGAAACTCAATCTGGTTTATAACAGGATGGAGCACATTCTAAATTTAGAAGTAAGTATCTATTATTATTATTAAGGCATAATCTGTTTGATTTAACTTTTCCTTTTTTAAGGTTTTAATGTAAACTTTTCTGATTAGTGAAAGTGCAGCAGAAATCAAAATTAATGATTTATATATTAACAATAAGCCCACAGAAATAAAACTTATTCAAAAAGTATTTTATTATATTCATGTAATTTCTGCTTTAGTAAAGATGTGAAGTTTTGAAGATGTAGACTAGTGTGTTGTTTTGTTGTTTATACTGTGCAGATAAAATGTATTTACTGCCTATATGGATTAATTCCTTTTTATATATATAATCAAATAAATTTAAGGCAGAGAAAATAAATTGATTGATTTTTTTCAAACCAATCAGATAAATTATCATAAACTGTCTAACTAACCAGGAAATATGCAAAAAAAGTTATTGCCCTGCTCACTTTAAATCATTTGACCGTGAGTCAGTTGCACTTAGTTATACCCATAAAATAAGAAATCTCTTTTATACACTGGGAAAAAAAATCCAAAACTAGGTAAGTAATTTTTTCTTAAAATAACTGCATTTGTTCTTGAATATAAAAGAGACATTTTGCCAATGGAACAAGAACATTTACATTTGAAATAAGAAAACACAACAGTATTGTCTTATTTCAAGTGCTTTTTATCTAATTTTCTTATTTTAAGAGTAAAAATATTAATTCCATTGGCAAACCATCTAATCAAATTAAGGGTAAATAAACTTCATTTCAGAAAATTCGTTTTTCCATTGCAGAACCAGACTGATGACATGAAGTAGACCCAGATACTAAGACTAAGACTTCTTTTTTATCTATAATGTCCTGATATAAAGTAAAACAAATAAGAAAAGAGCAGCAAAGTCATTAACATCTATCACAAAGCTCTTTACAAGACTCCTGGACTCCAGAGAACCATGATCTATCGGTACAAATGTTATCAGTTTAGACCAGCGTGAACGATTTACTTAGAAATAGTCTAAGCTTAAATGTTTCTAAGGCCAAAACTACTGCAAAGCAAACAGACAATGAGTAAAACACCTGGATGACCTCTGGGACTTTATGGATCATATATACATAACGGATATTTTTTTATGTCGTGAACAATTTATTCTATTGAAAATACGTCTTTACTGCACCATAAGGAAAGTGAATTAAAATAAAATGAATCTCCAGGACAGGAATTTTACAATTCTAAACTTTTGTTTTTGTTAGATAAAATAAATTTGTTTTAAAGGGGACAAACAGATGATTTAATTAGAACTTTTTATATTTTCAACATTTATCACATAAAACAGAAACAGGTCTAATATTCAGTTTGTTTTTCTGTTTATCTTTTTAGGAGATGCCGTTTATAAGCGGACTGAGTGAAAATGTTTCAGGACTGAGCTTTGGTTTGTGAAAATAAGTTTAATTTAAATCTAATAAATTAAAGCGGGGTTCTTTCTAGTTGAAATACTTTTTATTTTATTGTGTAGATGAGCAGCAGGAGCTGGACTGGACCCTGCAGGACTCAGACCTGCACTACCACATTCTGACCAGTGGGGGGCAGAGCAACTCCCCACACACTGCTGCTGCTGTAAGTGTCTAACATGGTGGGAAAGATCAGGTCTGTGTGAAACCACAGGCTGACATTAATAATAAATCATTTATTTGACCTCCAGGTCAGAGAAAAAAAATCACAATTTTCAAGAGATTTTTTTTTTTTCACCCCTTGAAGCCAATCTGTTCCCTTTCTGACACAATCAGTGTTAAATCTGGTCCAGGCGGCTCATCGGTGGCCTGAGGCTGAATGTCTGACCTGATGACCATGATGATGAGTCGTTTCGCCTCTGAACAGCTGGGAGATAAACCGCTCTGAGACGTTTTCTCTTCCTGTTTGTGGGATCTTCACAGACTGGGGGCCAAAGATCAGAAAATGCTCTTTAGTGTGGAGAGAAACTTGACTTCTACGATGAAACATCTGTAGACGTATGCATACCAGTTATCCCTAAATAGGGCTCTCAGTGAAACACTTGGAAATTCAAAATTTCAAGCTAATAGGACAAGACCTTATTACGATGGCAAAAATGAATGCCAATGTAACAAGAAGAAACGCCAACTAGCCCGAATATATTAGAAAAAATAACAAAAGTGCTTCTAGAAGAAATTCATGAAAAACACTCTGAGAGTGAAAGAAACACATTCGTTTTGGTCCAACATAACCTTAGAGGCATTAATTCTGATACTGGGAATTACATTTTTTTAGTTTATAAACCTAAATATAATTGTTAATCAGGCTTATTAACTTTTTAACTTTACTTTTTAACTTTTCAGTGAGCTTTTTATCTTTTTTCTTGACTTGTTAACTTATTTTTTTCAACTTAATTTAAGTTAATTTAAGTTTTTATTTAAAAAAACGGTAACTTGCACTATAAAGGGTTAACGCGGCTTCCTACAGTATATGATAGACCCCAGGTGGCCTTTTTATTAGGTACACTGTTAGGATAATTATCACTAATGATGTGTGAGTTTATTACATCCTAATATTAGCTGCCTGTTGTGTGTCAGAACTGATGTTTATCTAATTAAGAAACTTCCTCTTTCTTAATTAGATGTACAGAATGAAAATTATACAGTTATAATCTTCATTCTGTACTTGGCAACGATTTGGGAATGAAATGAGAGCGGCGTCCTTCTGCTAAGAACAAAGTGAAATACTTTGATAAGGCTGGAGCCATGGATGTCTAATCATCTGCTAACGTGTCTGATGTAATGATGTTACACTGCAAAAATTTGAATCTCAACAAGTAATTTTTTTCTTAAAATAAGTGTATATTTTCTTGAATTAAGGAGGTAAATGAGACACTTTGCCAATAGAACAAGACAATTAATACTTAAAATACGAAAAAAGCAATTATGTTGTCTTATTACTTATCTTATTTAAAGGGTAAAAATACTCATTCCGTTGGCAAGTCATCTTATTTACCTGTTCAAATTAAGGGTTAAATTGATTTAATTTAAGAAATTTTTACTCATTTTTAGATTGTTTTTGCAGTGTATGATGTAATAATGTAATGATGTGGCAGACTGAAGTATGAAATGCCATAGATATCCATAATAAAGGCTAGATGTCTTACGGCGGAGTCTCAAACGTCATCACCGGCGGCCATCTTACCTCAGGCAGGCTTTCTGTTGTGCTCTGTGGTACCTAATGTAAGGTGAGTGATCAGCACGAACACTAATACTCTTATCTCACTGAATTCTTGACGGATTTACAAACAGTTTGGTTTCTTACAAACATTATGAACGTGGCTATTATTCTAGATGCTTGAACATGTCGAAATTGCAGATTTTCTTGTCGAAAAATGACTTAATCGCGCAGCATAGTTGTGCATCACGGCTACTTGCGCAAGTTATCAAGGCTGAGATTATTAGTCAATTATATAGGTTTTACTGACACCAATAACGATTGTATGACAATTAATCTTTGGTGTAAATTATAATATTTGTGGATGTGGTTGTAGTTATTAGTTGGCTAATAACAATAATCTGAGTGTTGTTGTATTTTCATTATTAGCCTAACGTTAGCTGGCTAATAACAAGAAGCTGCGAAGTGAGACCTAACGTTAGTAAGTTAGCAGCTAACGTTACAGTTTAGCTAGCTGCTAACGTTAACCAGCAACTTTACATCAGTGGAAGAGGCAGAATTTAACATGATTTCCAATCGATTTGGTCTGTCAACACATCTTACATTATGTTACAGGAATTTGCTGGGTTTATTAAAAGGAAGATGCCAGACTTTTGCTATGACATAATAGTATTACAAGATTGTTGTTGACTCAAAGCTTTTATAAGTTTGTATTAGTTTCATTTGGACAACTTAAAGGTGGTGTTGTGCCAAACATTTTCAACTTTCCAGCTCATCTTCAAAGGGTATGTGTATCATTGAAATTTAATCACATATTGATATACCAATTTTATACACTGTGAATTGTTGTTGGTCACTTTTGTTTTTGTTTCTGCAGGTTATATAATGTGTAAGCAGGAGGAGAAGATCTTCCATCCCCGTTTGCTGACATTCCTGCACTAGTACATGACCACAGCTACCTTCCTGTCCGCTTTGATGGCCTTGTGGACAACGCTCTCTTGTACATTACACAGAAGCTCAATAAAACCGTCCTTTTCAAAGGGCATTAGCCAAGCTTTGTTTTTTGGGTCATTTTTTAAATCTCTGTCTTCCATGTGTATACCATCACAGTAGTGTAGGTGGGGATTTCAACATGCTACATCTATATATACTTGTGAAGGGGACTATTGTACCAATTTTAATAGCAAATAAATGTCATTTTTATAATGGTTTAAAAATAGGAACTTTTGTGTAATTACCCCTGATATATAATCCGAATAGTCTACATGAAACTTCAAAGTGTTACCTTTAATTTGAAACCTGGATTATGCTGCTACACCAAGAGGTTGCCACACAATAAGCCTTTTCTGTCAGTATTCCATATTTTATTATAACAATAATATTCATATTATAAAAGTATGTATGTAAATATAAATAAATTAGGACTGTGAAATAATTAATCACACCCAAATAAAAGTGTTTATTTATATATATATATATATTTATATATACATACATATTTTTATATATATATATATATATATATATATATATATATTTATATATACATACATATTTTTATATATATATATATATATATATATATATATATATATATACACATATACATAATTTTATTTATATATATATATACATATTTATATATATATATACACATATTTATATATATAGGTATCTATATCTATATAGATATCTATATAGATATCTATAGATATATCTATATATCATGTTGCCATTCAGTACACTGAGTTTTAATAGCATATATTGATTTAACATAAATACCTTGTGCATGTGTATATTGCACCTGTATGTTCTATTCAATGTTCTTTTCATATGAAATACCATGGTTATAATTATTCATAAGTGTGCAGTATCATAACTACATGTCTGACTTTTGTTTAACAAACCAAACAATTAGACAATTCAGGAAGTTATGGTTATTTAAGTACATGCGCCTTTAAAACACAATGTTACGAATGAGCGAGCTGCCTGTGGCAAGATGGCCGCCACGTGCGGACGTCGACCCCCATTGGCCAGCAGCGCGGACGAGACATCTAGCCTTTATTATGGATATCTATGTGAAATGCTGTTTGTCGGGGCTACTTCCTGGTTGGTGAGCAGCTGCCTTCTGTAACTCTAAGCAGCTTCTTTGTTCTGAGTAAGATTATAATTTCTATCAGCATCTGCTGTCATGTCTCCTGGTTATTTAATACATATAAGTTATGAACTGTTATTTAAGTAGTTTATCCAGAGTGATTTGCTTTCAGGAAAAAGAACCAGAGAAAAAGCTTCAAGCTGCAGAGTCATAGTGATAAAGTGGCCTGTGACTGAGTTTGGTCTTCTAACTGCACCCCCTCCCTGTCCAGGTCTCTCTCCATCCTCTGGTTCCCCTCTTTCACTACAGTGACAGACACCTGCCCCCCTCCTCCCCGTACAGCCAGCCAATCAGCGAGCCCCTAGCCCAAAAGGCCAACTCCCCCTCCTGGACACGCCCCTGTTACCATAGCAACACCGTTTCCAGGCGAGTGAAGCATTATTGAACTTTTAGCTTCCGCTTCTGCTTCCTCTAACTGTTCGTCTTCATCTCTGCTCACTAAGGACAAAAAATAGCTTCTGATTTTATTTTTATCAACCTGGAAAAGTTACAGACACTTATTGTGGAGCAACGTTTTATAAAGTTTGGATTTATATAACATCAGATAAAAAAAATTATTTATATTTTATTGATTTCAGTAATATTTAGTAACTTTTAGGCTTTTCAAAAGTAATGATACTCTGGAAAGTAAACTTGGAAAACAAAGTCCTGTGGATTGTTTTTTACTTTAACTTGATGACTGGATGACCGAGAATCTTCACCACACTGGAAAAACTATGTAGAAATAATTAATTTAATTCTTAAATTAAGTGAATTTATCCTCAATTTGAGTAGGTAAATGAGATTTGCCAAAGGAATTAGTACTTTTACTCTTAAAATAAGATAATTAGATAATAAGCAATTGAACTCATTGGTGCGTGTTAGACATGGAGTAACACGATTTAAAGAGGTACATAGACTTCATTTCACCAGGGACAAACTGGCGAGAATTTTTCAGGGAGCTGATCAAACAGGTGCCAGCCAACACATCCTATGTGTTTTGGTCTTGCCCAAGACTCAAAGAAATCTGGATTGAAATCTTCAAAACTTTTTCATCCATCTAAAAGAAAGATATTGAACCCGTCCCTCTGGTAGCCATTTTTGGTGTGGCACCAGGGGGGCATAGAATTAACAACAGTTTAAAGGAAGGCAATGGCATTTTATTCGCTGTTGGTCCGGAGATTGATTCTGTCTAATTGGATAAAGGCAGCAACACCAACTCATAAACGATGGATAGAGGAGGTAATGGCACACTTAAAGCTGGAACATCTTCCATTGACATCACAGGGAACCATTAAGAGATACACTATATTGCCAAAAGTATTTGCTCACCCATCCAAATTATTGGAATCAGGTGTTCCAATCACTTCCATGGCCACAGGTGTATAAATTCAAGCACCTAGGCATGCAGACTGTTTTTACAAACATTTGTGAAAGAATGGGTCGCTCTCAGGAGCTCAGTGAATTCCAGCGTGGAACTGTGATAGGATGCCACCTGTGCAACAAATCCAGTCGTGAAATTTCCTCGCTCCTAAATATTCCACAGTCAACTGTCAGCTGTATTATAAGAAAATGGAAGTGTTTGGGAACGACAGCAACTCAGCCACGAAGTGGTAGGCCACGTAAACTGACGGAGCGGGGTCAGCGGATGCTGACGCGCATAGTGCGAAGAGGTCGCCAACTTTCTGCAGAGTCAATCACTACAGACCTCCAAACTTCATGTGGCCTTCAGATTAGCTCAAGAACAGTGCGCAGAGAGCTTCATGGAATGGGTTTCCATGGTCGAGCAGCTGCATCCAAGCCATACATCACCAAGTGCAATGCAAAGCGTCGGATGCGGTGGTGTAAAGCACGCCGCCACTGGACTCTAGAGCAGTGGAGACGCGTTCTCTGGAGTGACGAATCGCGCTTCTCCATCTGGCAATCTGATGGACGGGTCTGGGTTTGGCGGTTGCCAGGAGAACGGTACTTGTCTGACTGCATTGTGCCAAGTGTAAAGTTTGGTGGAGGGGGGATTATGGTGTGGGGTTGTTTTTCAGGAGCTGGGCTTGGCCCCTTAGTTCCAGTGAAAGGAACTCTGAATGCTTCAGCATACCAAGACATTTTGGACAATTCCATGCTCCCAACTTTGTGGGAACAGTTTGGAGCTGGCCCCTTCCTCTTCCAACATGACTGTGCACCAGTGCACAAAGCAAGGTCCATAAAGACATGGATGACAGAGTCTGGTGTGGATGAACTTGACTGGCCTGCACAGAGTCCTGACCTCAACCCGATAGAACACCTTTGGGATGAATTAGAGCGGAGACTGAGAGCCAGGCCTTCTCGTCCAACATCAGTGTGCGACCTCACAAATGCGCTTCTGGAAGAATGGTCAAAAATTCCCATAAACACACTCCTAAACCTTGTGGACAGCCTTCCCAGAAGAGTTGAAGCTGTTCTAGCTGCAAAGGGTGGACCGACGTCATATTGAACCCTATGGATTAGGAACGGGATGTCACTTAAGCTCATATGTGAGTCAAGGCAGGTGAGCAAATACTTTTGGCAATATAGTGTATTTCAAGATCTGGTAACCTTTTATTTCTTATTTTGAATCCGAATTTCCAACTGCTTCACTGGCGAAAAAATCTAGATCTAGATAAGCCATTTTTTCTTAAAATAAGTGAATTTGTTCTTGAATTGAGGAGGTAAAAGAGACATTTTGTCAATAGAACAAGACAATTTACACTTAAAATAAGAAAACGCAATTGCATTGCCTTATTTAAAGTGCATTTTATCTAAATATCTTATTTTAAGAGTAAAACTACTCATTCCATTGGCAAACTATTTCATTTACCTGCTCAAAATAAGGGAAAATATGCTTAATTTAAGAATTTTTTACTTATTTTTAGATCGTATTTCCAGTGTTCAGCATAATTAGCAGCTTTTTTTGGGCAGAATTATCATTATGATTGTTATTCATACTTATGTTTTTAGTTTTCAGCCCACTGATGTCTGGAACATGGGTGTGTGTGTGTAGTACCTGTTTTGTTGATAGTTGGTCTATGTTTTTTTTTAGATGTTTGTGTGATGTATATATGGAGTCTTATTTTTTTTTGTTTTGTATGTCCTGGACGGGATGTCAGTTGGTTCAATATGAAAAACTTATAAAAACTATTTGATTATTAATAAGAACTTGAAATAAGAGGATGTTATTGTGTTTTATTTTAAGTGTAACTTGTCTTGTCCCATTGGTAAAATGTCTCTTTTATCTCCTCAATCCAAGAAAAAATCACTTATTTTCATAAAAAATGACTTATCTAGATGTCGATTTTTATCCAGTGCAGCATCATAATTAATAACTTCTCCTGTAGATCTCCGGTGAAGGTGAAGAAGCCTCTGAACGCCTTCATGCTCTACATGAAGGAGATGAGACAGCAGGTGCTGCAGGAAGGACAGGAGAAGGAGAGCTCCGCCATTAACCGCATCCTGGGACGCAGGGTGAGACTCCGGATGATGTCATAGTGATGTCACAGCGGCTGGTTGGCCTGATGCGTTTGTCTCTGTCTGCCAGTGGCACGCTCTGTCTCCCTCTGAACAGTCCAAGTATTACGAGCTGGCCCAGAAGGAGCGGCAGCTCCACATGCAGCTGTACCCCGGATGGTCTGCCAGGGACAACTACGTACGTACAGCAACACATCCCACAGCTGCACCGGTGGAAGCTAGGAGGAAAACATCCGCTGCTTCTTCTTCTGTTTCCAGGGGAAGAGGAAGAGGAGGCAGAGGCAGCAGCAGCTCACTGAAGGCTCATCTGGGACAGGATTCGTCTGCAGCCACTTCTAGTTGAAGAATCAAACTGTTTCTAATTACTGTCAATGAACTGAAAATATAAACACTGACTTAATGCACTCACTGAACATTTACACCCTGGTTCTGCTCAAGTCTTTCAGCTGCAGTGAGATCGGATACCAGCGTTCCTCTCATGATCATCCTGTGCTTTCAGTCTAAGGAGTGTGAAGCCTGATTCATTTAAATGTTTGGGTTTATTTTATCCTTTAATCTGCGTTCATTATTGCTCTCACTGTTCTTTTTTTTTAAATATTTTTTAACCTGAATTTCTGACCTAAACAATTTGTTAGGATTTCACACTAATTTATGTACTAATTAAATTTTTCTTTAAAAGTTTTGAGATCTCTACATGTAAACTCAATTTTATTTTGATCATTTTGTGGTGGTTATGCTAAACATAAGGGTTTACATCAATTTTGTCCTCATTACTTGCCCTAGAATGTTAAGAGTCTACATTGAGTTGTGTTTTTTGCATTTACTAGTTGCTCAAATAATACCCCTTTAATCTGCGTTCATTATTGCTCTGACTGTTCTTTTAAAAAAAATCTTTTTTAACCTGAATTTGAACCTGACCTAAACAATTTGTTAGGATTTCATACCAATTTTCGTACTAATTAAATAAACCTCCAGGATTTTAAAGCCTAGATTTGGATAAAGGCCTTCATTAAGCATTAAGCTCTGGTTTCGCTCGCACTTAAACGACCAATCAGGTTGCAGGATGATGTTTCAAAGGAGGGACGAACAGAAAGAGCAGCAGTCTAAAAACCAAACCCTGTTTTGCTGGACTAGGTGTCATTTTACCCTTAGAAGGTTCCGCTAACATTAGTTCCAGACTGGAACTAAAGTAAAAAGATTGAAGAACATATATATATATATATATATAAAAATAAAAAACTCTTCCTTACCCATTGCGGGTGGTTGGTGGTCTTCCCCCCCTTTTTTACCTCCAAGCTCAGGTCCTCTACTAGAGGCCTGGGAGGGTTCCTTGAACTGCACTCCTCTGGACCGAGATATCTGATGTATTTCCAGGGATCTGCTGTAACCACTCTTCAAGTTAGGGGGGGGTCAGTGCCCCGAGGGCCCCAATGACCACGGGTACCACTGAAATATATATATATATATATATATATATATATATATATATATATATATGTGTGTAACGGGTTTTAGAAGATGTAGATTTAATTCTACTAAAATATGTTTTATAGTTATTTGTGATGAGTGGTTTTTGGCGCCCCCTACTGGTTGTCCTATAAATACTGGGGAACGGCTGACAATTCCACTGAATCTGTTCGGCCCCCAGCTGTGCTGTTGGTGAACCAGAGGGGAGGCTAACCAGAGTATTTGTTTTTCTCTACCATTCATTACAGTAAAACTTTTTTTTTTTGTTAAACCCAACTGTCTGGCATACGATCTGTGCATGACGGGATGGCTTAAGCTGTGACATTGGTGCCGTGACCTTGGACTTCAGTCAAGTTCATCGAACCTGTGACCGTCCTGTCTACAACATCGGTTTTTGAAGACATCAGTTCACATTGTGTACGAGTTCACCTTCACAGCTGATACGTAAATCTTTAAAAAAAAAAAAAAAAAAAACCCAACTGTCTGGCACCCGATCTGTACATGACAGGAGGAGCTGTGACACGTGTGTGCCACATACACAAACTTTATAGATTTTTCCTTTAAAAGTTTTGAGATCTCTACATGTAAACTAAATTTTATTTTGATTATTTTGATCATTTTGTGGTGGTTATGGTAAACATAAGGGTTTACAACAATTTTGTTCTCAACTACTTGCCCTACATTGCTAAGAGTCTACATTAAGTTGTGTTTTTTTTTGCATTTACTAGTTGCTCAAATAATAAAAACATTTTGAAAAAAAAAAAAAAGGCAGGTTTTTACCGTTTTGATCATCATCAAAACTAGAAAGAACCCAAAGTGGCTCTGGAGCCGCCCTGAGCAGCTTTATTTTATCAAACTAATAAAATAACGTTACTGGATGAGAAAGTCTCTTAAATTAGTGTCTCTTTATTTGAGCAGGTAAGTAAAATTATCGCCCACAGAGTATTGTATTTTGTTCTTGGAAATTATCTTTTTCCACGCAGCTCTTATAAGATAATGTTTTGGTTTTTTTGTCTTATTGTGAGTGCAAATATCTCATTCCTTTGGCAGATTGTTTTACCTACAGCAAATACATTCATTTAAAGAAAATTTCTCTATTAATTCACTTTAACAAAAAAAAAACAGTTTTAGGTAGAAAATAAAATGTCTGTAGCTGTTAATTCTGTGAAATTAACAAAAGCCAATTTGGTTTCCTTTAACTTTTCGATGTTCATGCTGAAACATAACCTGCGGCGTATTCAAAACAAGCTGCTCATTGATGGAAAACAGGCTGGAGTCGTTGGAAAAAAAAAACTTTGTTGGCATTTATTCAGGTTACTTTAGTTTCTGTGAGGATGTGAAACATTTAAAAAGGCACAAAACAAAACAAGCAACAGAAGCTAAAGGGTAAATACTTCCTCATGGCATGGAGGTCCCGCTCAGACTGCCGTAGAAACATTTCTCCCGTGGTTAAAGAAAAGCCAAACGGCTGAACGTGACTCCCTGGACGCTGGAGTCTTTCTGCAGCTGTGAAGCACCATGATCCCTCCTTTAGTCTGAAGGCTTTAAATATCACAGTGCTGATCAGGAAAGCAGCAGTTCATCATTTACAACAATAAAAAAAAAGTCTTATTGCTCCTCGGCTTCAACATCCGGATCTTCATTCGTTCTGCAGTGGGACCAGTCCAAACCCACCAGCAGTCCGACCGACAGCTGCTGCATGAAGGATGGACTCCACATTGGCAGAGGTAAACATCAACACTTCCAGGTTCTGCTGCGGTACCAGGTGGGTTCTCCTCATCAGTCGTCCCTCTCCATGCCCATGGTGTGGTACCTCTCCTTGCAGGATGACAGCAGGGCCCGCGGCGACAGGAACACGACGGGGACCTTTGTCTGGACGTTCCTCTCCAGGAAGTTAAAGACCGGGTTCCACCAAACCCTGGACAGGTAGTTGTTCTGGGTTCCACGCAGCTCCTGGGCACAAAATAAGCAGCAGCTGTACATTTATAGGTGATTTTTCTCCCCCATTTTTTTTTTTAGGGATTTCATTTGGCAACTTAAAAAAATTACTACTCTGACTCCATGAAACCTACAATTGAACTTCATCTTCCATCCAGCAGAGGGCGTCCTAGAACCTAACCTGTTATTTTTTTTCTTTACTGGAAAGTCAGACCATCACAGAGTGGCTGAACATGATAAATGCTTATGCTTGCTCCCTTTCCTCATTTATCTATCTTATATTGTTTTTTTCGAAAGTTTTTTAGTAAATTTCTCCACTGTGAGATCAATAAAGTCAATCAATCAATCATGACTTTAAATTAAATCTGAAATCCTGAAACATTAGGGCTGGTAGAGAGAGACCCAATACTCAATGTTGGGCCAGTTCCTAAATAAACAAAACTAGCTCATCGTTTACTTTTTCAAAAAGTTCACAAACCTATAAATGAACTAGTTCAAGTTTATTTGGTAAATTAACCCTTTAAAGCCCGATTCAAGAATAAAACAAAACAGAAAATTATTTTTTTTGGGTTGAAGTCCTTATTTGACCTTTTAACAAAATATGCAAAAAGAAAAAGCAGAAATACATTTTTGATATAAATAATTTATTACTATGCGATAAGTCAGGATTATTTTTGGTGTAGTCTTCTGCCCTCTGTTATCAGGTATATCTGATTGTGTACAATAGGATTTTGAGCAAAGTTTTTACCATTAAATTATGCAAAAGGTGTCAGACGCAAATTTTTCAGAAACCGTATGTATCAAATATACATTTGGCATTACAGGGTTAAGCCACAATCCTCGACAACAGAACCTCCTATTTCCGCCTTTGAATGTTTGATTATAATAAATAGAGAGAAATGGAAAATCCTGGATGCAGTCACGGTATAGTGGAAGTGCAGTGATCCTTTATTTAGCCAAATTACGCAGAACTTTAGAAACATGCAGGAACATTCAGCTGAAAAGATGTGGATCCCATATTATTTACGTTCGTCATTCAGTAAGAGATATTTCCCAGAATGGCTCTGATGCTTGAACTCGATGTGTCGCTTTAAATTTGATGTGAACTTGGCTGACGTACGGACTTGTTTGTTAAGTCTCAGTTGGCACAGTTGATTAAAAATGTGAGTTTTTTTCTGTCCCAGTCTTTCTTTTTTAGTTCATCAAACTCTGCCAGGTTCTCTGCTAAACTGGCATCAGAAATAGTAGACATGCTGCTCTGTCATGCTGTGAAACCTGACGTTATCCAATGAAAAGTTTGGTTAAACTGAACGCCAACGTAAGCTGTGCGAGTCGCTCATTATTCTCAGAGTGAACGTTGGTCTCGTTCACGTTCATTACTTCCTAAGCTGATACATTCAGTTCACCGTTCACTAAAAATATTAATGTATTCAGTGAACAGCGTTCATGCACAACAAGGGGCGTAAATAATAATCGTTTTGTATCGACACTGGAGAGAATCGATTCATGTTTTGTTTTTTTATTCCTCCGGTCTATTTTTATCCCTTTGCTCCTGGACGTAATTCTGACTCCCGTGCCGCGGTGGCGCTAAACCTATTTTGCCCTCCTACCTGGCTTCCTTTAGCCACTACCGCCTTTCTGCTTGCACACAAACACTCGCGTGAACACAGAGGCGTTAGTATTTTTCAGTGAATGAGGTTTTCATAAGCATAGGTGGAGTATAACTTTGCTAACTCTGGTATTTGCTGTCGTTTCTGAAATAAAATGCATAACGATATTACAGCTTTCATTGATTTATTTCAAATTTGAAACCTTGTCTAGCCTGTAAAGTAAAAAAAAAAAAAAAAAGAATAATATCATGGTGTATCCTTGAGTATCGAAAATAATCTATTGTTGGGTCAGGAAATCGATACTGAATCGAATCGCCACTCCGATCTGATGATGTTTCCAGGCACTGAAAAGCTGCATGGTGTCAGTATGGTTTTATGCTTGTTATGATGTCATCAAACCTTCCAACTTGACAAACCTGCCTCAGGATGACTGCATGATTTATAAACAAACTGCATTTAACCAAACAACCATTGAACCTCACACAGAAATATGAATAAAGCAATAGGACATGATGTGCAGCTGGAGTTAGGGAGGCCTATTCAAAGTCCAGACCTACATCCAGTTAAAGGATGAAGTTTGTTCTCCTTTCACTCCACAGTAACCTTCCTCTAATGTACAAAGTGGGCCTTAAGGGCTGTTTTTCAGGACTTACATGATTGTTGGCCATGGTGTGGTACCACCAGAACACCCTGGTGCAGACGTAGTAGGCGATGATCACGTCGACGCTGTAGTGCTCGTGGCCCACCAGGATGCAGATGACTCCGGAGACGCTGAGCAGCCAGCAGACCCAGTGGTACCACCACATCCAGCGGGGGGAGTCTGGAAACAGATCCTAACCGTTAGTCTGCTGATATAGAGGGACAAAAGGAACGGAGGTGCGAAAACTTTCTGAATGCTCGGATGTTTTGGGTCAAAGCTGCATGAAGCAAACAGCTTTTTTGTTTGTAACAGCAGAAAGAGAGCAGCTTTCTGTGAGGAAATGAAACCACTGCAGGGACGGAAGGGTTAATGTTGGGCAAGAAGGTTTCTGTGTGAAACCAAGAGTCAAACGCAACGTTCTGTAGGGAAGCTTTAATAAAGGAACACCAAACAGAGAGGACAGGGAGAAACCTTTAACCCAGGGGTCTTCAACAATTTCCCTGCAAAGGACCCCAATCTGATGGCAAGATGAGGACCCCCTAATTATATATATTTTATGAAATTGTGTTCTATCAAACTGGTCCTATAGTCACTCTATTACAGATGGAGTAATGTAATAAAAGTAATTTTTCAGCGGGATTATTAAAGTATTTCTGATTCCTGGTGGATGGGAAAAGGTGTTGTGAATGAAACAGTGCCCAGCTTGAAAGAGTTCCTGTGTGTCGCTGAATGTGAGCATTGATGATTGAAAGACATTTATCTGTTTACTACAGTCTGTTGATTTCGTGTTAATGTGGATTTAAAGACGTTTCAATTAGTGGAAAAAATTGCAGAGGGGAAAACTTTTGCGATCCCCCATGCAGTACCTTCGTGGACCCCCTGGGGCAGAAGTCCAGACCCACATGCTGGCTAATCTGGACCCAACCTGATTTAAAACATTATAAATTACCGCTTGAGAATGGCTTTGTCTCCATTCAAACCCAGGTTCAAAGCCTTGCCGGGCAGCCTAAAGCCCACTGCTCTCATTAAGACAGAAAAAAGAAATAACGGTAAGTTCAGGTGTTTTATAAAATAGGTGAATCAGGAAATTGTCTATATACCGAACTGAAAGATTGTTCTACTTCAAAAAACACTGGAAAAATGGGAAATTTTTAAAATATTTCTCTAATTAAAAAAAAATCATCTATGTATAACATGGCTGCATAAACACTTTATTTCAGTGTTAAATTTTGTTTAAAGTAACAGATTATGATTAAATACATCTCCGGACCTTTACTGGTTGTTTATTTTCTTTATTCGGACCCTACTGATTTTTAATTGGTTACCCTTGACCTAAGGGTTGAACACCTCCGCTTTAACCAATCAGAATGGATGACCTGATTGAACCGTCTCTGTAGAGTGACCTTGCCTGACCGGCAAGGCAGGCGGGGGGAAGCATACCGTCACCGGGTCGGGTTCGTCGCTACGATCCCAGTTCCAGTCTGCTGCAAACCCAAATCTGGTCACCCTAGGTGTGAACGTAGGGGTTGATTCGTTCAAGTGTCAGGGTACGCGCACAGGGGGGAGGGACAAGCAGACAACCATGATTGACGTGTCAGGAACCAATCATGTATAACGGACCGTCTTTTGTGATTGGTTGAGGTTATTCATTGATTTCTCACTGTAGGGGGGACCATTTATTACTTTTCACTTCACTTTTATTAGTTTCACTTCCAGACCTTGTATTTCACTGCTTGCTAAGCGGCTGTGGGGAGATCTTTAAGCCACATGGTAAAAAATGCATCAGAAAATGCATCCTGAGGCAATTTTGACTGTTATTACAGATATTCACTATTTTTTGATCAGTTGGTCACATAACTCCTCCACTGCACGGTGTCTGAGCCATCTTTGTTATTAGTCGCCTTTTTTGGGTAGCAGCAACCTATGGGCCGCTGTGATGGCAAATCCCATAATGCTTTGCGAGGAGAGCTCTCCGTGCAAAGCATTCTGGGATATATCTGCCTCTTCTGAGGCCTTTCGTTTCTTCTCATACACTTCATGGACACTTTTTTTCTTCTGACCATCGGCCATTTCCAGAGAACCGCAGTGAGAAAGGTGAGCTTCAATTACTGAAACCGTAGCTCACCACAGATACCTGAAAGTGCACATGTGCAGAAAAAGATGGCTAACAGGACGAGCAGGTAGGACGGCTTTATGTAAACATATCACCAGAATGTTTGATAATTAGGAGGACCACTGATTTAGATGATCCACACAGAAATAAAAGATCGTCCTCTACACCTTTAACAGAAACAAAATCAATAACTTGTTGAGTTTCTATTCCCTTTGCCTCTGAATCTGAACATGCTCTACTTGCATCATCTGCATCCGGCCACATGGTGGTGCTATCAGTCGATCTATTAGACTCACATTCTTTGATGAAGAGGTAGGCCAGCGTCAGCATGACTGTGTGGCCGCTGTACAGGAAGTCTCCACACATGAGGTGAGAGCCAGTCAGAGACAAACCTAAAAAAAACACACAGTCAGAATACGTTCTGATCAGATTCAGGCTGACTCCTTTAACTACTGAGAATCACCAGGTTCAACTTCTCACTTTGATTGTAATACGCTGCAGGGATCACCTGGCAGCCAATCAGAGAGCAGGACTCTCTACTATGTAATGAGAAGTTAGCTTGGACGTTACCTCCTCCTGAAATGAGCCGCAGGATCCTCCAGATTTTCCCTGTAGAGTCGTTGTAAAGCTGCACGGAAACAACAGTTAGTGATCGTTGTGCTAAATGAACCGGCGAGGTGTCGTAGGTGGGTGGGGACCAACCTTGGGGGCGCAGACCATATGCTTCCCGGGCACCGGCAGCGTGGTGATGTACATGGTGATGCAGCGGTACATGTAGAGAGTCCCGATCAGGAAGAAACATCGGCGGCCCACGATGGCTCTGCAGGCAGAGAAATGGTCAATAATGGCCGAAACACTCAGAGGAACAAGGCGTTCAAGGCCAACGCTGAATGTTTGAACAGATATCAGGTCTTTGGGGAGATATTGATTCATTTACAGGATAAAGATGACCAATAACAAATGTTACACATTTTAAACAAGAGAAAAGTGAACAAATCAATGGAAGGAGCAGCAGTTCATGAGCTTCATGTCATCTCCATGCATGGCTACTATATATATATTTTTTTATTTTATACAAAAAACAGATTTTAACCAATAACTTTTTATATATAACTTGTTTGAGAAATTCTCTAGAGGGACTTCATTTGTCTAATTGCATAAAAGGTTAATTGATAAATATGTCAAAGTTTTTTTTTCTTGTTTCTCCACATTTACCTTGTTATAGAAACAAAAATCCATCATTCGAAATAACGTAACAAAATATTGATTTTTAATGTCAATGGATTCATTTGGTTTTAAATTTAAATTAATTTAAGGAAAAAAAATGATATTCCTTTTAATTCCAGTTAATTTATTTAGTTTATTTGATCAATAAACTTTTAGAATATTTTAATTTTGATCATTTTAAGTTTTACATTTAAATTGACAATTGTAAAACATCTTAAAGCATAAATGAACAACTTTTAAAGTCACAATCTATAAATTTAAATCTGTTATTTTGTTATTTGTAAATCCTCATTTTATTTAAAAATGCTATTCTAAATCTATTTATTTTATAATTTCATGTGTTTTTTTTAAGACGGAGTATTAGGGCAAGGCTAGAGATATTTAATTTTTTATTTCGAGAATAAAGTCATAAAATTATGAGAAGAAAGTCGTAAAATTATGAGAATAAAGTCATAAAATTACGAGAATAAAGTCTTAACATTATGAGAAGAAAGTCGTAACAATATGAGAAGAAAGTCGTAACAATATGAGAAGAAAGTCGTAACATTATGAGAAGAAAGTCGTAACATTATGAAAATAAAGTCGTAACATTATGAGAATAAAGTCGTAACATGAGAAGAAAGTCGTAAAATGATGAGAATAAAGTCGTAAAATCATGAGAAGAAAGTCCTAACATTATGAGAAGAAAGTCGTAAAATGATGAGAAGAAAGTCGTAAAATGATGAGAAGAAAGTCGTAAAATGATGAGAATAAAGTCGCAACATTATGAGAAGAAATTCGTAACATTATGAGAAGAAAGTCGTAAAATGATGAGAATAAAGTCGCAACATTATGAGAATACAGTCGTAAAATGATGAGAATAAAGTCGTACGTTATGAGAAGAAATTCGTAACATTATGAGAAGAAAGTCGTAAAATGATGAGAATAAAGTCGCAACATTATGAGAATACAGTCGTAAAATGATGAGAATAAAGTCGCAACGTTATGAGAAGAAAGTCGTAACATTATGAGAAGAAAGTCGCAACAATATGAGAAGAAAGTCGTAACATTATGAGAAGAAAGTCGTAACATTATGAAAATAAAGTCGTAACATTATGAGAATAAAGTCGTAACATGAGAAGAAAGTCGTAAAATGATGAGAATAAAGTCGTAAAATCATGAGAAGAAAGTCGTAACATTATGAGAAGAAAGTCGTAAAATGATGAGAATAAAGTCGCAACATTATGAGAAGAAATTCGTAACATTATGAGAAGAAAGTCGTAAAATGATGAGAATAAAGTCGCAACATTATGAGAATACAGTCGTAAAATGATGAGAATAAAGTCGTACGTTATGAGAAGAAATTCGTAACATTATGAGAAGAAAGTCGTAAAATGATGAGAATAAAGTCGCAACATTATGAGAATACAGTCGTAAAATGATGAGAATAAAGTCGCAACGTTATGAGAAGAAAGTCGTAACATTATGAGAAGAAAGTCGCAACATTATGAGAATAGTCGTAAAATGATGAGAATAAAGTTGCAACATTATGAGAATAAAGTCGTAAAATGATGAGAATAAAGTCGTAAAATGATGAGAATAAAGTCGTAAAATGATGAGAATAAAGTCGTAAAATGATGAGAATAAAGTAACATTATGAGAAGAAACATTATGAGAATACAGTCGTAAAATGATGAGAATAAAGTCGCAACGTTATGAGAAGAAAGTCGTAACATTATGAGAAGAAAGTCGCAACATTATGAGAAGAAAGTCGCAACATTATGAGAATAGTCGTAAAATGATGAGAATAAAGTTGCAACATTATGAGAATAAAGTCGTAAAATGATGAGAATAAAGTCGTAAAATGATGAGAATAAAGTCGTAAAATGATGAGAATAAAGTAACATTATGAGAAGAAAGTCGTAAAATGATGAGAATAAAGTCGCAACATTATGAAATGGGTTGTGGTATGAGGAATTCATTCTCGTAATATTACGACTTTATTCTAAAAAAAAAATCTCTTATAGTCGTAGTTTTTACGTCTCTTCTTAGAATAAAATAATTGTCACGTTAGATGCAACAGGTGAGCCATTTCTCTCAAGAATAGTTTAGAACCATACAGACGGTGGGGTCAGAGGAGGCCCCGCCCCCACTAGCCGGTCTTACTTGTGTTTGAGGAGGAGCCACTGGACGAACCAGAGTCCCACCAGGATCAGCCCGTTGGTCTCGGTGACGGTGAAGGCCCAGGGAACCCGGTCCACATAGTCGAAGAACTTGTCGGGCAGCGGCGGGCTCACGGACTTGTCCGGCACCCTCTCGTGGACGATGGTGATGACGACGGTGGTGAAGACGAGGTTGAAGAAGGCGTAGAGGAAGGCCACGCCCGTCTTCCACCACTCGTTGGGGAGGTCGTCGCCGTGCTCCTCCTTCATGCAGATCTTCTCGTAGTCGCAGCGTCTCTTCAGTTTGCTGTTCAGGGACTGGATCAGCCGCAGGCTGCACAGCCCGCCGCGCTCGCTGCTGCCGTCCTCCTCCACGGTGGGCACGGAGGCGTGGCGGCTGGGGTTACCGTTGGCAACCCTCTGTGGACGCGTCGGTGGCGGCGAGTTTGTCGAGGTCACGTTAGCTTCCACCGGGATACGAACTTCTTCCTCTTCTATGAGTTCTGAAGCAGCCATGGACTCGGCTGAACACTGTGGACCAATCAGAGCCTCCAAACCAACTGGCTGACCAATGACGGGCTTCCTGGTGATCGATGAAGTTCAAATAGGGCAGAATGTGATCCGTTTGGTCAGAATCAGCAGAAACCTGAAAAACAGCAAACATCTCTCAGCTTGTTTCCCGTGGATCGGCCCAAACCTTCACTACAGGACAGACAGCAGAACATTTTAACCTCCAGCACCTTTTTCCTCCTCCTGATTCAAACAGACCGACGATCTCTGCCTGTAGGGTCCGACTCAGGGCCCTAATGTTTACAAAGTTTTTCTCCAATCAGAGGTTCAGCTGTCGCTCTGCTCTTTGACCTGCTGCTGAATTAATCAGTCTACAGCCGTGAAAATGAACCTTCGCTGAGATAAAGGACGTTACACCGGGGTCAAGCTTGTTTTTTTTCTTTTAGTCGTTATGCAGAACGAGCCAATCAGCTGCGGACAAACCAAACATTCCTCTGAGCAGCTCTGTAATCTTCCTCTTATCAAATCAATGGTTTCTGTTATCAGCAGCAGAAAGCCTCTCGTGATTTCTGGCTCCTCCTCCTCAGACAGGTCATTGACCTTCAGCACACACGTGTGTTTACATCCCATCATATCCAAATCTAAACAAGCAGGGTGATATTTCAGATACTCTGTGTTTCAGAGTCGGGGGGGCAGGGTCAGGTTTCTGCAGGCTTCCCCATGTTTGTTGAAGAGAAGGAAGAGAAGCGGAGCAGGAAGCAGCAGACGGCCCTGAGTTTGACTGCAGGTAACCTCAGGGAGACACTCCCTACAAACCAGTTGAACGGCATTAAACGGAGGAGGAGGAGGATGAGGGGGAGGATGTCCTTCAGCTTTAGTACCGGCTGATGAAACAACAAACAGGTAAAAAAAAAAGGCTTCCTGTTTCCACAGAGCCCACCTGGGATTTACTGGGATGCAGCTGTGACACATCAGGCTGTTTCTACCTCTAACTGGAAACAGAAAAATAAAGATGCATTTACTCCCATATCTACTCAGCATGTCATCACCTATACTGATGCTCTTTGCAGTTATGACTGATGGTTTTTATTTGACGATAAAAAACAATAAACCACACCTTGATTAAAAAACCCAATTAAAAATGTTCAAATAAACTTTAAGTCATGAAAATAAACAGTAGTCTTTTAAGTAAACATCCAACTAAAGTAAAAACACTGTATTTGAAGAATGAAAAAGAGAATATAATTCAGTAAAAAAAACTTTTTTTTAACTGTTTGTTCATTATGTAAAACATTTTCTTTATATATACACATATATTTTTTTTTTCGATAATTTAATTAATAAATAATCGGATAGTCAAAAGGTTCTTTAAAGAGGATTTTATAGAGAATTAAACCAGGTGAAACTAAAACTTTCCAACTTGTGGATTCTGGATAGAGCATATTTACAGACGAAAAATATATATTTTTTATTTATCTAGAATGCAAAATATCAATTTATGTTTTTCCACAATATTGGTCTAATTCTTGCTCTAAATCGGTCACTCTTTCAGCTAAAGGCACATTTTAGAGTCTATACTCTAGTTAAGGATTAATCGATTACTAAATTAGTTGACGATTATTTCAATAATGGATTTATTGCTTCAACCCTAATATATATATATATATATATATATATATATATATATATATATATATATATATATATATATATATAAATAAATAAGGAAATGTTTCATGTAATAAAAAAGAAATTTAAAAAACTTAAAGAACTGAAGAACTTAAGGGAGGCACTTTTATTCTCTCCCTTCATACGGATAATTTTCTAAATATATCCCATTGTGCAAACTATTAATGGGAATGATAATTATTTCCTATTTGCAAACAGCTGCTGCACACAGAACGGGCACCAGGGGACAGAAATGTTCTGGCTCGATCCATTTGGACCTGCAGCAGAACTTTTTTAGGGTCAGATTGAGGCTTCTACTCCTAAGGACACTGCTGCAGCTCTCAAGCACGGTTGTGGCAGCATCATGCTTTGAGGCTGAAAGGCTACTAGTTACAGTTACCTTTAAAATTCTTTTACTTCAATTTAAAATAAAGAAATATAAAAAAAGACTGATCCGGGATCAGGGATCCAACTCCTTTAGTCCAACAGTGACTGAATCAGCTCCTCATGCAGGGTGGAGGTGAGCCGATACCTCAGGACTATCGGTTTTAAATGCCGCAGAGCAATGATCCTAAATGCATCCAAACTCGTTCTGGAATGATTAAAACGAATCTAACTGTCTAAAAAAACAACACAGAATCGATTTAAATGAACCGTTCTGATCATCAGAGGGGTCCATTCTGCCGTTCCCTCCTGAGTAAAGGGGTACACTACAGGCAGCCGTGATCATGCTGGACCAGAGGGGTCCGTATGCATTAGGGGCCACATTACACTGTGCATGGTTCAGGTATTCAGAGGTAATCTGCACCAAATTTTAGTGCCAAAACCTGCATCTTTGACTGCAATCTACTGGATCTTCATCCGTCAGAGCAGAAGCAGCATGGAGCTCTGATTCAGTCATTCTGGCCCCGCTGACTCGACTGAGGATCAGGACAGGTTAGCAGAGGATTTAACAGAGTGTGATGAAGCAGAGGAAGGGGTCGGGTCCCTGGCTGCTGCTAAATGCCTCCTCCTCCCGCTGATCTTCACATGGGACGGCTGGAATGCCAGCTTCAAGTTAAAACATGTGACCACAAACTCATCCCTGGTCAAACCATCTCTGATTGATCAGGCGTCACAGAAAAAAAAACTATTTCCTACTTTAAAGCCCAGTTTTAGTCTGTTGCTGCTCTGATTTAATACATCAAAACTGTATTTCTGGGTTTTCCTTCTCTTCCAGCTGCTGTTTTTGGATCATCTTTCCTTTCCAAACGCTCCTTTTCTCTATGCGCTTCTTGGCAAACATCCTGTTTACTGAGCAGCAGAAGCGAGGCCTAATGACGTTAGAAACACGGGAATTCAATTCGGACAAATTAGGGCTGATTCATGAGCTGGAGTCTGATGAGGAGGATCCTCTGGCCTGCAGAGAGCGTCCTGACAGCTTCCTGCACAGATCAACTTTAGCAGAAAAACAATCACATCCCTGTGAGTAAAGCTGGAGGAACCTCATCTCAGATCCACTTTTATTATAAAATCCACTTAAAAAACAGACTATTTAATTAATGTGGTTTAAATTCTCAAGTTTTAATGAGATCAACTTATTTAATCATCTCCAAAATGTCAGATAAGATGTTTAGACTAAAAAAAAATGTAAACTAAAATAAAAATTACCATACATCTGTAATAATTTTAAAAGGGCCTTGACTTATAGTTGTATAGCCTTAAATTTAATCAATATATATTGATTTTTACTATATTTTACAGATTATTCTGATCTAAAGACATTTTTAGTATTTTAACAAAATAAAGAAATGATAATATTTCACTTTAGGGACTATATGATGTATATCCTTAGTTCTACGTCAGAGAATACAATGTTTTTATTAAAACACACATTTTTACATATATATTTTTTTTACTTTTTCTCAGGCCAGTTTATCCAATAAACCTTAAGCGTATTTCTTCTTTAAAAATGTATAAAATTAAAATAATAATAGTTTAGTTTTTGGGTTTTTTTTAAGTTTCCGTCCTTCATTTTGAATTTACGACATGAAAGCTGGATCCAGGAAACACCTGTCGACCGCAACAGGTAACAGTTTTCGTCCAAAAAAAACGGATAAAACTCGGATAAAATAGAATTTTCTTGGTGTAAAATGTCAGGAGGAATACACTCACCTGTTAGCTGGTTTAATTTCGGGTCTTCGCGTCGGAAAGATAAGCTTTTTCTCCTCCTTTCTCCCCTTTTTCTGTCTGCCTGCCGTCTTGGTAAAGCAAGCCCCGCCTCTGCCTCGTGCCTGGCATTCTTCGATGTTTAGACTCCAAATATGGTTCGCCTGCTTCCGCCACGTCACCAGCTGCGTCCCGGTTTCCGCCCTGTTGACTCACCTGTGCCATGACTCATCTGAGCTCGGTTTCACTAGGGGCTTTCCGGAGAAATGCAGCTTGTGCAGCTTTATTTTTTCTAAAAATAAAAAAAATTATAAAAATGATTTGGAATAATTAGTTAAATTTGCCTTTTTTTTTTTTATTAATTTACAATCGAAATTAAAAATTGGAAATATAAACAGTTACCTGGAACTTGTGCTTCTTTTTAAATGTCTCTATGACTAATTTAATGATCATGACTAAAATAGCATAATTATAGAGATGACTGATTACTTAAGCAATCTAAATAGCTACTGGTTTTCTTACATAAAGATTTGATTTATTTTTAGATGTTTTTTTAAGGATCTAAATAAAAAGTTCTTGTTTTTTGACTGTCTGGTAAATGTTGAAACTTTTCACATATCAGTCAAATGTATGAACATTTTCTGAGGATTTTTTTAAGCATTTAGGTATTGTTGTTATTTGGTTGTTCAATCTGTCAGCTTTAGATCGATTCACTCGTTTATAATATCATTTCATGCCCATGTTTGTCTTTTACCTAAAACACGATAAATCAGTTTGAACTGATACGTTTAAATTACAGTAAGCTGCAAATCCATCCATCTATCCATTTTCCATCAGCTCGGGTCTTGAGGGGTGCTGGTGCCTATCTCTAGCTGTCTATGGGTGTGAGGCGGGGTCCACCCTGGACAGGTCGCCAGTCCATCACAGAGCAATACAAACAACCATTCACAAACACACTCACACCTAAGGAGAATATAGAAAAGCCAATAATCAACAGTCATGTTTTTGGACTGTGGGAGGAAGCCGGTGTACCCGGAGAGAACCCACCCATGCTCAGGGAGAACATGCAAACTCCATGCAGAAAGACCCCGGGTGGGGAACTGAACCCAGAACCTTCTTGCTAATTGTCATTAAATGCTCAAATAGTCTCTTTATTTTATTGTTATCTGAAATTCTGACCGTTTTCTATTCAGTTTGGCTTTGATATCCCAGTAGAAAATGTGTCCTTAACTATGTAGGGGCAGTGATGGCCATCCTCACTATGTAGGGGCAGTGATAGCCATGCTCACTATGTAGGGGCAGTGATACCCATGATAACTATGTTGGGGCAGTGATAGCCATGCTAACTATGTAGGGGCAGTGATAGCCATGCTAACTATGTAGGGGCAGTGATAGCCATGCTCACTATGTAGGAGCAGTGATAGCCATGCTAACTGTGTAGGGGCAGTGATAGCCATGCTCACTATGTAGGGGCAGTGATAGCCATGCTCACTGTGTAGGGGCAGTGATAGCCATGCTAACTGTGTAGGGGCAGTGATAGCCATGCTCACTATGTAGGGGCAGTGATACCCATGATAACTATGTTGGGGCAGTGATAGCCATGCTAACTATGTAGGGGCAGTGATAGCCATGCTCACTATGTAGGGGCAGTGATAGCCATGCTAACTGTGTAGGGGCAGTGATAGCCATGCTCACTATGTAGGGGCAGTGATAGCCATGCTCACTATGTAGGGGCAGTGATAGCCATGATAACTATGTTGGGGCAGTGATAGCTATGCTCACTATGTAGGGGCAGTGATAGCCATGCTCACTATGTAGGGGCAGTGATAGCCATGCTCACTATGTAGCGCCAGTGATAGCCATGCTCACTATGTAGGGGCAGTGATAGCCATGCTAACTATGTAGGGGCAGTGATAGCCATGCTCACTATGTAGCGCCAGTGATAGCCATGCTCACTATGTAGGGGCAGTGATAGCCATCCTCACTATGTAGGGGCAGTGATAGCCATGCTAACTCTGTAGGGGCAGTGATAGCCATGCTCACTATGTAGGGGCAGTGATAGCCATGCTCACTATGTAGGGGCAGTGATAGCCATGCTCACTATGTAGGGGCAGTGATAGCCATGCTCACTGTGTAGCGGCAGTGATAGCCATGCTCACTGTGTAGGGGCAGTGATACCCATGATAACTATGTTGGGGCAGTGATAGCCATGCTCACTGTGTAGGGGCAGTGATAGCCATGCTCACTATGTAGGGGCAGTGATACCCATGATAACTATGTTGGGGCAGTGATAGCCATGCTAACTATGTAGGGGCAGTGATAGCCATGCTAACTATGTAGGGGCAGTGATAGCCATGCTCACTATGTAGGGGCAGTGATAGCCATGCTCACTGTGTAGGGGCAGTGATAGCCATGCTCACTATGTAGGGGCAGTGATAGCCATGCTCACTGTGTAGGGGCAGTGATAGCCATGCTCACTATGTAGGGGCAGTGATAGCCATGCTCACTATGTAGGGGCAGTGATAGCCATGATAACTATGTTGGGGCAGTGATAGCTATGCTCACTATGTAGGGGCAGTGATAGCCATGCTCACTATGTAGGGGCAGTGATAGCCATGCTCACTATGTAGCGCCAGTGATAGCCATGCTCACTATGTAGGGGCAGTGATAGCCATGCTAACTATGTAGGGGCAGTGATAGCCATGCTCACTATGTAGCGCCAGTGATAGCCATGCTCACTATGTAGGGGCAGTGATAGCCATCCTCACTATGTAGGGGCAGTGATAGCCATGCTAACTCTGTAGGGGCAGTGATAGCCATGCTCACTATGTAGGGGCAGTGATAGCCATGCTCACTATGTAGGGGCAGTGATAGCCATGCTCACTATGTAGGGGCAGTGATAGCCATGCTCACTGTGTAGCGGCAGTGATAGCCATGCTAACTATGTAGGGGCAGTGATAGCCATGATAACTATGTTGGGGCAGTGATAGCCATGCTCACTGTGTAGGGGCAGTGATAGCCATGCTCACTATGTAGGGGCAGTGATACCCATGATAACTATGTTGGGGCAGTGATAGCCATGCTAACTATGTAGGGGCAGTGATAGCCATGCTAACTATGTAGGGGCAGTGATAGCCATGCTCACTATGTAGGGGCAGTGATAGCCATGCTCACTGTGTAGGGGCAGTGATAGCCATGCTCACTATGTAGGGGCAGTGATAGCCATGCTCACTGTGTAGGGGCAGTGATAGCCATGCTCACTATGTAGGGGCAGTGATAGCCCTGATAACTATGTTGGGGCAGTGATAGCTATGCTCACTATGTAGGGGCAGTGATAGCCATGCTCACTATGTAGGGGCAGTGATAGCCATGCTAACTATGTAGGGGCAGTGATAGCCATGCTCACTATGTAGGGGCAGTGATAGCCATGCTCACTGTGTAGGGGCAGTGATAGCCATGCTCACTATGTAGGGGCAGTGATAGCCATGATAACTATGTTGGGGCAGTGATAGCTATGCTCACTATGTAGGGGCAGTGATAGCCATGCTCACTATGTAGGGGCAGTGATAGCCATGCTAACTATGTAGGGGCAGTGATAGCCATGCTAACTATGTAGGGGCAGTGATAGCCATGCTAACTATGTAGGGGCAGTGATAGCCATGCTAACTATGTAGGGGCAGTGATAGCCATGCTAACTATGTAGGGGCAGTGATAGCCATGCTCACTATGTAGGGGCAGTGATAGCCATGTTCGCTATGTAGGGGCAGTGATAGCCATGCCAGTCCAGGGACTGACTGCATTTCTACTGTTAGGTGCCTTGGTTAGAACAATGACCGGCGTACCTGACATGTAACAACCAGACCATGCATATGACTTTAGGTTAATAGACTATATTAATTAGGCTGTGTATGCTTCCACAAACTAAAAAAAAACTATAGTCCACCATCCTCCTCCTTTTTTTTATTTTTATTTTTTACAACTAGACTACTGTATATAACTAAAATAAAGGATCTAATTATTCTATGTTTTAGTGAAAGTTGTCACAACGTAAAGGATTGTCCATCCCTGGTTTAAACATCAATGTGCAAATAAATCAGTTGCTTTTATCTTATATTAATAATACTAGTTAGGTTTATGGACCAATGACTAGACTGCAGTGTTGAGCAGTTGGCAGCATTATTGCCTTGCAGTGGGAAAGAAAGTATCCAACTATTCACCCCAGTTAAATAAACAGAGATTGATGGATTTCACTCAGTTGGCACTTTATTTTCATATCTTTGCAAAGAGAGCAATTCATCATACAGCCCTTACTGCTCTGTATTCAGCCCCGTTCTGCCTGGGCAGAGTGTGTTCCCCTGACTTACAACAATGGAGAGTAGTCAGAGCTAAAAAAACAAATTACAGACACTTTGGTGAAGCAGTTACCATGTTATGAATAAACCTTGAGAAAGAATCTGGCTTGTTGTGGGAAGAAGCTTTGTCTGGTCAACAAACATCCTCATGTAGATAATGGTGTGGCCTTGCAGGTGAAACAGGCTGAGTGGAAACTTTTATAGTGAGTAAATAGGATAAATTGATATATAAAATAAGAAAAATCAAAATTTTCCGACCATTCGCTGTCTTTCTGGAGGTTGTGCTGTTGTGCACACGGATGAATGAAACGCAGCGTAAGAACAAATGACTTACTTTAGTTTAAATACAAACACAGTGTTACAGTTTAAATGTTTATTTAGTGAGTAGATCTGGAAAAAAGTATTAGGAAGTGAAAATTATTTAATTTGACCTCCTATCCTTCCTACAGTCCGTATTGTAACTGATCCTCATTAATGTTGCGTTTCTTATGATTTTATAATTCTCAAAAGCCATTATTTAAACAAACTAATTAAATTACAAAATATGTTTCTCAATTTTACCCCAAATATATGCAGGCGAGAAATGTTACAGCAGGCATCTATTTTAGACTCAAAGCATTAGTTAGAGCTATATTTAACAATAAACCAGCTGCCTGCAGATGATCCTTTTTTATTAAGTTAATTTAAATTTAAATCCTCCTAAGAAGGATTTATTTATTTTACCCCTCTTGTTTCCTTCCTACATTAAAAACAGATTTTTGGTTATTATAATTTTAGCTCCCAGATCATTGAAACTAGTTTAA